CAAACTATCTGCACATAGGGGTGGTTCCTACATGCCATTGGCAAAAGCAAAGCGAATCCAAAAACAATGAGGTAAGACTGTGGGGCCTGTTCTACCCTAGTGCAAAAATCACTTCTAATCCTTTATGTTTTAAGGAATAGTTTTGTAGCTATACAAAAAAGATGTGGATGGGCTGGAAAGGGTCTAGAGAAGGGCCACAAAGATGATCAAAAGACTGGAAAGCCATATGAGTAAAGGCTGAGAGAACTGGATTTGTGTCACTGTGTTCCAGTATTTAAAAGATGTTTACAAAGAAGATGGAGACTCTCTTTTTACAAGGACTCACATGGAAAAGACAGGGATAATGTCTTATTAATAATATAATGTATCTCGCAGGTTATCCTGGTGAGATTCTGATTGGACACAGTAGGAAAATTTTTCACCATGAGAACAGTCAGCCACTGGAATAATCTCCCCAGGGAAGTGGTGGATTCCCCAGCACTGGACACTGTTAAGATTCAGCTGGACAGGGTGCTGGGAATCTTTCCTCGGTCATGCTTTGCCGAGAAAGGTTGGACCAGATGATCCGTGAGGTCCCTTCCAACCTGGTATTCCATGAGTCTGTGATCCATATCAGTGGCTGATGCAGCCTGCACAGCTTCACATTATTCAGGGCAGTAACTGGGTTTAGAGCTGCTCAGCATAAGAGATCTGTTAAAATCAAACCAAACTCCAAACCTATTTATAAAGACATGAGCTAGCACCAGTACAGGTGCTGTAGGAGTGACAGGTTGTAGCTGCTACAGATCGTTTGGACCAGGGAAAGTTACTGCACACTGAGCAGACCCAGAGGTCCTCTGGCTTGCTCTGCTGTATTCTCATAGTTTGGCCGATGAAACTGTGGAGCATTTAGCTCCTAAAATAGCACTACACATGACAGAATGCAGAGGTACTAAATCCAGTCCTGAAAGCAATATGAGCACACTGAGGAGGGATTATGCTAGATGTTAAAGCCCTGATGCTTGGCTGATGTGGTAAGTTCAGACTAGAAAGCAGCTGCTTTGACTTCAGAGTGCTGCTGGATCATGGAGAAGGGACACCACATTCCTTCTTCAGCTGCTACAACTTTGATCACAAAAATCATCAGCACTCGGACCTCCTCAGAAGCTGTGTTTCTTGACTGACATGATGTCCCAGAGTGTGTGTCTCTCTGAAGGCCTGACACATCATGTTATTTCTCATTCTGCCAAACAGATGCAAAGTGAACTTTTTTTCCCCCAAACACCCCAGGTTTCCGCTTTCCTTTGGGAGGAAATGTCTAACCACATCTGTGAAAGCCCTCTTTGGTTCTGTTGGCACGTAGAGCTTGGGTATTGTAACTGGTTTTCCTCTCAATACGTCATTTCAGTTTGAGCAAGTGGCTTTCTACTGCCTTGCTGTACAGTAACTAATTTCATAGAATAATAGCTTCACAGAATCACAGCCTGGTTTGGCTGTGAAGGGACAGCCAAAGCTGTCCCTGTGAAGAGACCTTAAAGCTCATCCAGTTCCAACCCCCTGCCATAGGCAGGGACACCTTCCACTAGACAAGGTTGCTCCAAAGCCCCTTGAGTATCTCCCAGGGCTGCAGGACTCTTTTTGTTCACAAACCACCTTCACAGTCCAGAGGATGACAAGGAAACTGCTGATTATTCCTTCTCTTCATTTGCTAAATTGAGTATGAACATGTGGCTGATAATGGAGAGCAGAACTTGTAGATACTGGTCTGCCAGTGCTAAATTACACTCTCGAAGAGTGAAAGCTTTTAGCCTGACTCTAAAATCCTCTCTGGAAGATTGTGTGGAATATAAAATCTAGCCTGATATTGAATCTATTCTTAATAGTACTGATCATTATTTTACCACATGTTTACAGGTAGTTTTCAGATTTTCCAAGCATGAGGATCAAAGGCTGCATTTAGTACACCAAGACAAGACTCTCTCTTGGATGTATTAAGCAGGGTGTTATCTCTCATCAAGCCTTTTCTGTGTAGTTCTGAAAAACAATCATCCCCCTTCCCCATTCACTCTGATCATGACTAAGCTGAAGAGAAATTTGTGATGTTACTATCTTGGTAAATTTAGTTGCTTCCAGTAGATGGCATTAGAGCAGTGCAGTCCTGATGGAGGTTGGTTTCTGTCCTACTTCAGCTGCAGGAACAATTCCTCTTTTACTGCGTGCACAGAAGTGGAGTTTTTTTTCTCCTAGCACTCAAAGTAAATGGGTTTAAAACACTCGTATTCTTTTCATTTCCTACCCAATAAAAGATTTTATTTCCCTGTAGACAAAACCTTTATTGACACAGTTTAGTGGTGAACTTGGCAGCGCTGGGGGAATGGCTGGACTTGATGAACTTGAAGGTCTTTTCCAACCTCTTTGATTTTATAATTCTATGAATTTTCAATGTGCATAACCCAACAATCACTTTATTTTAGAAAATTTGTCCAGACACTGAGTGCTTTGGGTTGAATTCACAAATATGCAAAGCGCTGGGCGCTGCTCTTTCATGTATGACATTTCTTCCCGCAAATTATGTATCTGGGCTTTCTGTATGGCAGAGGGGAGTAATCAGTCACTTCACACCATCTTCACAGCAGCTAGCAGGCAAAGGAGAGATGAATTACAAGAAGCAGCTGGTTATTTTAACCGATTAATTACATTTCTAATATATTTGCAATGTTCTAAGTGCATTCTTTGTACAGTCTCAAAAATGCAAAAATATTGTTGAGGGATATGCTGGCATAAAAAGCCTCAAGCCAAATATTAAGGTAACTGTTTTTACTGCTAATGTCAAAGTCAGTTCTGATCAAAGCGTGTTACCCCACTGAGTGCATTTGGGCACAGCATAAGGGGACACCACAGCCCCTCCACATGGATTCCCAAAAGCCACTCTTTGAAGTGCTTGACTTGAAGTCAACTCATACTATTCAGTAATCAACAAGTTATGTTACAAAAATAAATCATTACCAGAAACGTGGGCAGCATTTTCTGTTGTTTACCTTTGCATTACAATAAATGTAAATTAGAATTTGTCTTTATTTAATCATGCATTTGAGTATTTGAAGCCAAGACAAGCTGACTCACAAAAGACAACTCCTAGCATTTAATTTTCCTTCTATGTAGTTAAAACACATTCCAGTTCTTCCTCATTGACCTAGCATGGAATTTATTAGCTTGCTCCCCAGTTCACAAAAAGCTGAGTAAAATTTAAACATTTCCCCATGATTCATCAAAGCTGTTTGTCCACCAGGTTTTGCACTTGCAAAGAAAATTCAGTGCTCAAAGTATTTTTCTTTGCAAGCAAAAGCAAGCTGTGGCCTGGGGAGAAGGGAAGAGAGGGGTAAGCAGGGAATATGTCTCAAGTATTTGGGCATCACAGGTGTAGTGGATGGCACCTTCCCTCATTTGGGATTTCCCAAAATGAGGAACCTAACGCAACCCTTGAGGACATCAGGATGTGTGTGTATGTGCATGAATATGTGCATAAAGATAGACAAAACAGTATTCCCTTCTTTACCCAACAGGCCTTTATTGGTTCTTGAAGCATGTTAGCATCCTGTTAGCATCACTCACGCAGGATAGAAGGCTTCATGTGCCCTGATGGAAGCACTGGCTGCCAACCCTAGACTGTTACGCCCAAGGGTTCTCTCCTGCTCCAGTACCACTTGAGAGAGATGCAGGATCTCAGTTTTGGCATGGTTGGATGGCTGTTGGTTGGGATTTTGAGAATAACTGTTTCAAATGAAGTGGCCTATATAAGCCTTTGACTGTAGTGATAGGACAAGGGGTGATGGGTTCAGACTTAAACAGGGGACATTTAGGTTAGAGGTTAGAAAGAAATACTTTACAGTGAGAGTGCTGAGGCGCTGGCAGAGTGCCCAGAGAAGATGTGGCTGCCTTATCCCTGGCAGGTTGAATGGGGCTTGGAGTAACCTGGTCTGTTGGAATGTGCTCATGGCCAGCGGTTGAAACTGGATGAGGCTTTAAGGTCCTTTCTAACCCAAACCATTCTATGATTACACTAACTTGCTTATTTTCTTATTTGATATTGGCAGTCAGTCAGTATTATTTATTTGGTTTGGTACCAGTATGTTTATTCAAAAGGAATGGTGGTTTGGGCTTTCTAGCTCAACTTCTGCAGAAGTTGCTGTTGTAACTCTACTGTCTGCTGTTTGCAGCTTTTACAAAGTTTTGCAATTAAATTGTCTGTATTCAGTGGTCAAAAATAATTTTCCATTTGCTGAGAAAATGAGCAAAATGGCTAAACTTCAGAGGAAACTTGTGAGAGGGAAAGCATCAACAGTCTTTTGAGTATCAAAACTGGTGTGACGTACATTTGCATATCCCAGCTGCTAAACAGCCCGAGTGGAAAGCAAAAGGAGATTTGCTAGGGAAATAGCTTTGTTGAGGGGAAAAAAAATGTTATGGTGTATGTATATGTCACTAAAACCACATCTCTGAGTCATTCACAGCTGCCTTTGATGCAGACAGCAGGGGCGAAGGCACTGCCACTGCTTGGTGCTTGTTCCCAGGGCCATGACTGGCTGTGCTGCAGCCACTGTGGCTGGGTAGGTCACGGTGTCCACAGTGGCTGCAGGCAGGACTCTGGGCTGAGCTTGATTTAACTCCATCTGGAAAGGCTGTCATGGTGGCACCAGCTTATAGTGATGTGTGCTATTGCTGTACCCCTGCTTTCTTGCCGAGCACAGCCCTAGGGCAGATCTGGACTGGAAGAACCAGTGATGCAGCTCCCAGTCTGCTCTGTCTCCACCCATCCCAGCTGGCCGACAAGGGAGCCAGGGCTGGGGAGCAGCAGCAGAAAGAGATGGAAGGAGATGGGAAGTGCAGCATCTTCCTCACAGTGTGAGAACTTGGGTCAGAGAACACTGAGGGTCAGACCCATTTGTCTGTGTATAATACACGTAACTCTGGTGTGTGTTCAAGGCCTCTGTCACCCTTACACTGATGTTTCCCTTCAACAGAAACGACCTGGGAGCGGCCCAGCAGCGTGCCTGGGACTCCAAAGAGCCCTGTGTCACAGAAGAGTTCTGCAGGTACTGTTTGCTGCTGTGACTGACCACTGCATTGGGTGAATCTGCTTCTCCACCACTCAGCAGAGCAAAGGAAAATGCTGTGATTACCTGAGAAGTGTATTTAATGTACATGGTCATGCAAGTGTAGCAGAATATGGGGGGGGGGGGGGGGGGTGTCACTTCTGATACATCTTCTTGGCTGTTGTTTCCCTACTGATGCATCTTCTGGCTGGGTGTTTGAGGTGTTTGCTCAGAGCTGAGATAGCTTCTTCCTTGGAGCATGGAGGCAGATGGTGGCCCAGCAAGCCAGCAGGGCTGCTGGCTCTCAGTGGGAAGACAGGCTGCCTTTCCCAGTCCCACTTTCTGCTGGGGTAGGGGAAGCAAACAGCTCCAGCATGGGGTCCTCCACAAGCTGCAGGTATCTGCTCCACTGTGGACCTCCATGGGTTGCAAGGGGACAGCCTGCCTCCCCATGGGCTCCACCATGGGCTGCAGGGGAACCTCTCCTGCAGTACCTGGAGCACCTCCTGCCCTTCTTCTGCACTGACCTTGGGGCCCACAGAGTTTTCCCTAACATATTCTTACTCCTCTCTCTGGCTGCAATTGGTCATGTGCAGTTTCCCCCACGTTCTTAAATACGTGGACCCAGAGGAGCTACCACTGTCACTGATGGGCTTGGCCTTGGCCAGCAGCAGGTCACTCTTGGAGCCAGCTGGCATTGGCTCTATCAGACATGAGAGAAGCTTCTGGCACCTACTTACAGAAGCCACCCATGTGCCTCCCCCCACTACCAAAACCTTGCCACACAAACCAAACACAACATACCCAACTTCTTCAAACACATAACTTTACCAAACAATGATAGGGGAGTTGTTTTGAGTCTGGGCATCTCTTTTTCTTAGCTCTTTCCAGCTCAGTAACTCCTGTCATAACTGCTGTTAAGAGCCTGCTTGTGGGTCCATGGGCTGAGCTTCTGTAGAGTCCAGTTCTGGGGTCTTTCTGGATTGGAGTTAACACAACACATTGCCAGCCTGTTGGAATGGGGAGAAGCATCCGTAGTTTCTTAGGCAGGAGGCAGTGAGCACTGCTAATTCAAAAAAGACACTGATTTATATCTGTCTGTTCAATCAGTGATTATAGTTTTTTAAGTGTGTATTTATTAATTTGCTACCAGCAGCGAGCCTGTTAACTCTTCATCTGTTCTTACAGTGAATGGCTACTACATCTCTGGGACCCCAGTACACCAGCTTGACTCTGGTCATATGAGCCTCCGAAAAGCCAGTGGGGATCCACAGGTAAGTCTGGGGCAAAAGTTCAAACAGAGCTATCCATGGATACATGGGTCTCCACTTCAGTAATTTTGGAATATGCCCAGGGCAGGAGGTCAAGAGTCATTTTCTTTTGGGAACTGCCAGACCAGACCAGATTTGTTGTATCTAGAATAGTTAGTCTTTGTGTCCAGCTGGTAAAGCAGTACAGAATGCCAAGATACTTGGGATTTTTTCATCCTATCACTCTGACACTTCAGTGACTATTAACAACCCTACAATTTTTCTTGCCACTCCAGCAAGAAACCTGGGCCTCTCCCCAGCACAGTTCTCTCTCTAGACTTGCACATCTGCCCATGTCTGTATCTCATTGTGTTTTCTTGCAGCTCCAGCTTTCCCTCCCAAAGACAATATTCACAAAGAATTTGTCTGAAACTTGTTTCGCAATTACTTCATCCATTCCTGCATGTCCTCTTACAGACCCTCCTCTGTGCATGACATAGCATGTGCCTCACCCATCTCATCACTGACCCGTGGACAGTCTCCCTGCCTGTTTGTCCAAGTTTTCAGTAAATATCTCTGCACTTTTTCTTGTACCACTTTGTGTCCGTGGGCGAGTCTTCCCCACAGGTCTGCAGATGCAGCACAGGGCCCTCGTCCAGCTTCTCCCATGAAACTCTTCACTCCCCGCCAAAACGACAGTTGAATAGGTGGTGGGTTGCACTCCTGTAGGGTTGTGCTTCCCTGCCCATTGGTAACCCTGATGTTACCAGACCTGAGTCCTCTTGCCTCATTTCTGTAGTAACTGACAGGTTCTTCTAGGTGCAACTCCTTAAATACTCCAAGTGAAATGATTTGTGTGCTGCTGCCATCCTGTCTTGGGTTGCCTGTTGCTATCAGCATTTCTCTGATGTTCCCTATTTCTTGGTCTTAATTTTGTGTTGTCTGCCAACTGTCCCTCTTTGCCTCAACCCACTTTCTCACCCATTGTCTCCTAAGTAGTGGCCTTCAGGCTTGCCCTCATGTGTTCTTATTGCAGCTAAGTTAGCATTTCTGGTTTTGCTTCCACACCAGTGGATTCATCTCCCATGACACAGTTCCGCACTTACTTCAGACTCCCTGTTCCTTCCACATCAAACATCTTGCACTGCCCGTGCTGCTTCTTCTCTGAGCAGTTTGCACAGGCTGGAGGCAGACCATATTAAAAAAACATATAAAAAAACCCATGACCAAACTAGGTCAAAAGCGTTTTAAAACCTGGTGTAGTGCAGTGCATTGTCAGACACCCCTGTCCACACATCTGCTGTGACACCCTCAGAGAACCCAAATAAACATGCAGGCTGTGCCTTCCTTTTAAAATAGCTGTGGTAAGCCTTTTGCAAAACATTCATTTCTCAAGGTATCTGGTTCACAGTGTTTTTGCAGTTGGTTCACAAGTCACATTAACTGACACCTCCAAAACTTCCTTTTGCTACATTTGCTACTTTCCATTTTTACAGTGCTGAGCCTGACTCACATTTATAGCCACCTTTTTGGACAAATTCACTTCTGAGCTACATGGGGAGCCCATTACCATGCACTGCTTTGTTCAGCTGCCTCAACCATCAGACTGACAAAAATCCCTTTCATGACTTTCCTCATTTACTCTAACAGCCTCTGTGATACTTTCTTTCCATTGCTCCTTTATTACAGTTTTTCTCAATTTGAAATCCTGGCTTCATTCCTGCTTTGAACCTGTAACTAGTTTATAACTGGCTGCATTAGCAGCAGTTCATGTCCATGCCCACTCAGGAGCCTGCTCTTCCTGGGAGCTGGCTGCTTTTGTAAGAAGAGTCCTTAGTAAGGAAAACATCTGACCGTGAACTGTTGGTTGCAAGAAGCTGTTCTCTGCACCTCAAACTCTCATGCACTTTGGACAGTCCCTCTCCCATTTGCTTGTCTTGGGCCACCCCAAGCTGCTTCGCCTTGACTGCCTCCTTGTCTGTGCTTGGCACAGGCTGTCTCCTGCTGCAGAGCTGCTTCCAGGCATCCTCCAGGATGCTTTCTTGGGCCTGGGCAGCAGCCATCGTTCGAACAAACGCTGGCAAGATCCCTCAGGCACATTTCTTGGAAACAGGTCGAGGGGGGGAAAAGCCACAGCAGAGAACAACGCGGAGCTGTGCTGCGCTGGGCGCAGGGCCAGGCCTTGTTTACGGCTTCCTAGAGAGCAGCTGAACGCTGCCCGTCCGGGTTGTCACAACAGCCACGGCGGGAGCGGCAGCACAGCCCGGCCCCGGTGCAACGCGCTCGGCCCAGGACACGATGTGACCGGAGCTGGCCGCGGGTCTCGGGCTGTACCCGAAGGGATCGCGGTGGTGCGGGCGCTGCGGCAGCACTGCCCGGCCGGGGGGCACTCATGCTGGGGGCACCGCTGTGCCGCGGGGCTCAGAGCTGCCGGGGCGGTCACTCCCCTCAGAGGCAGCGCCGCGGGACGGGGCCGCCCTGAGGGCTCGGCGGGCGGGCGGCGGGACCGCCCCGCTCGGCAGCGCGCTCCGCCATTGGCCGCGCGGGTTGGCGGCGGCACCGCCTCCACTGCGCCCCGAGCGGAGCGGAGCCGAACCGAGCCGAGCCGCGGCTCTGGGCCATGGGGTCCGCCTAGCTCCAGCCCCGCCATGCTGGGCTTCGAGAGCGGCCGTGACGATGTGCCCCGCTTGTCTCCACAGACCCCCGGGTCCCCGGCGGCGCCGCGGCGGCAGAGCAAGGAGAGCAGCCTGACGGTGAGTGCGCGGGGCGGCGGGGGCTTCGTGCCGGGGGGCGGCGGGCAAGGGTGAATCACCGCGAGTGATTTTGGTGTGGAAACGCTCCTAAGTGAAGATCCCCGGGGAGGCTCGGGGTTCTTCTACCTGGACAGAATTCCAGTGTCGTTATCCCTTTGATCCCGGTGCATCTGGGATGAGCGGGAGGCAAGGGTGTTCCAGAGGTCCTAAATGTGAAGCAGGCATCCTGAGGAAACTTCCTCGTGTGGAAACCCCCATCCGCAGCCTCTGCTTGGAGAAGCAGTCACAGGTTGGAAATGCACAAATCCGAGGAGATGGTCGTTGCCCTGCCAGGGCAGAATGTTTGTTTTTTCCCAAAGAGGTGTCAGAAGGTGTTTTTCTGTGCCAGAGTGTCCAAGTGAAGATTTATGATGGAGAAATCATCGTGAAATGGTTTGGGTTGGAAGGGACCTTTAAAGCTCATCTCATTCCAACCTCCTGCCCCAGGCAGGGACACCTTCCACCAGATATAGGTAAAGATTTTAAGTGTCAGTCTGAAGATAATCTTACATTTCCTTTTAATATTAGTAATTAAATATAGCTGACTCAATTACAATGTTCTTCAGTATCCTGTTTACTGACATTAATATCTTTTGTGTGCCTGTTGACCTCATCTGGAACCCAGTTTGCACTTCTGGCCTCCTCAGTGCAGGACAGATGTTAAAACACAGAAGGGAAATCAAAATAGGTTTCTGAAAGTGGCTGGGAATAGAAAAGTTTGTTTAAAAGGAAATAATAAAGAAGATAAATGAGCAGAGAAATATATTGTAGCAGTAAAGGAGAGGCAATAAACATGCTTATAGCTGCAAGCATTGGCAGGGTGTAAAATCCACAGGAACAAAAAGAATAATGTTGTACATCATTAACTGTTATTAAGTGGAGGAGGTTGTTGTCTATATTATCATCACACAGAGCCTGATTTATCTGTTGGTGGATTTATGTGTTGGTGCGGCACAATTCCCTGTGTTTCTGGTGAGGGGGATGAGTGTTTGGAAGGAGCATGTGCCAGAAGGAGCAAGTGCAGGTCAGTCATTGCTATGTAGGTACAGTTTTGTAGGGGAAAAATATCCTCAGCAGTTTGCTTGGTTATCAGAATAGGTTGTTACAAATGAAACGTGCTGTTACTGTTAGTGTATTGAGGGAGTTGTACGTCATGAAGCTGGTTTAGATTTGCAATGTCCTGGGGAATTAGCTGCAGGGCTATGGTGGCTGGGGCTGGAAACTTGTCCAAGCCACCTAATGCAGTCCCTGCCAACCTGGGTTGGAGGGGTAGGAGCAAACCATGGGCTGAACATCATGTCTAGATGGACTAGAGATGGTGGGTTGCAAGGTGCAGCAGAAGAGTGCCTGTGTTCCTGAAATACTTGCTGCTTACAGGGCTGAGGACACAGGCTGTTCACTTAGGGTGTTTTTTACTGTTCATATTTGCTGGCCCATGTGCTATCTGGTAGCATCTGCAAAGCAAGAAGCTGTTGTGTGTTATGTCGGGGTCACTGGGTGTGCATTTGTCCAGCAGAAGTCTGAAGCTTTCAAGCACGATGCATCAGACAGACAAACCCAAGCTAATTTTAACAGCTGTTTGCTCCGAGCCGTTGCCTGCATCAAGGAAGCATTGTGAAAAACAATTCTCATACAGAGTGTAAGCTGTAAAACAATGTAAATTTTCCCCCTGTCTCCTGGGAGGTTATATTTGTTCAGCATCACTCAAGCTAACATTGGGATGTTCTGAGTAACAGAGCTGTAGGGCATGTCCTTAGATTTCTGTCAAATGTTTTTTCTTGGTCTGTAGCTGTGCTCAGGCAGAACCTCTTCTTGCAGAGGGGATTTTTGTGACTAAGTCTCTCAGAAAAGCAAATCTCTCCCCAGACTGAAATCCTGTGTTATGCAAACTGTGGACATGAGGTGATGTCCAGCAGCTGCAGCCTCTCTGTCTCTGTTCCGCTGCTTTCAGCAGAGGAGTGGGAGTTTGTTCCTTTCTTCCTAGGACTGCATCTGCCTCTTCTACATCCAAATAACCATTTAGGAACATGGCTTCTGGAAATCTTGAAGGATAGTGGAAGCTGGAGTATTTCTCATCTATATGCATCCAACAAGAAAAGAATATGATGTTTTCTCGTTGGTAAATGAATCTTGAAATCACTGTGTTGTCTGTTTTCTTTGGAAGGGTTATATACAGAGACTGTTATGAAACTGCTGCTTGCGCAGATTATTGATGCTCTCTTAAGAAGCAGCAGTGCAGGTCAGTGGTCTGTGTTGATTTTTGCAGTGAGATTCGAAATGGACTCATTAGTTTTAGGCTGGATGGTTTGCTGTTTGATTCCTGAAAAGCTGTCTCTGTACATGAGTTATCCATGGAAGCTGGAATTCCTTTATTATACGTGAGGGAGAGTTAAATAGAGAATATACTGCAGGGTATTGACTCGGGGAACCCACCGTGTCTCACTTGAAGAGCAAGAAACCTCTCTGCTGATATGCTACTTCCGAGTGTGGGTTTCCTTCTGAAGAATGCTCTGGTGTCTTGTCAAGATACAGCATAACTTGGAAAACGCTAGCATTTGCATTGCGTATGTTGAACACATAAATGAACACGTGCTGCAGATGGGAAGAGGGGCAGCCTACATGCAGTAACTTGGTATTTTCTGCTGCTGTGCTCTGCGTCTGACATCATGTGAGGAACAGAGTCTGAGGCTGCATGTTCTCTTCTGCTCTGGGGCTGACTGCATGGCAGAAACTCTCTGAAATCCCTTGCACGGACCAAATAATCTCTCAACCTTTGTACACATGGACCAAATAAAGAGGGCTCCTAAGCACTTTTGGTGGAACCTTCCATTTGAAATAGGAAGAATATAAATTGACTGTGTTAATGATTAGAATTTGAGTTGTTTGATCTCCCATTCTGTTGTACCATAGCTGCAGCATCACCCTGCCAGTGCTAAAACCCCATGCAAACTCATGATATCAAAGCTGCCTAGACACAGTCCAGGCATTTCTGGGCCTCTACTGAGTGCCCAAGCCTCTTCTGAGATCTCCAGCCTTTGCATTTGACTCTTTTGCCCAAACAGTCCCTCATTGCATCCAGTGGAGTTGGCCATTGTACTTTTTGGGTCTCAGCTGGAATTGTAAAGCAGATACTGAAGTTAAGCTATCCGGCACAACCATGCTGTGTTTAAGGTGCTGTGAATGTGTAGAAATTGAGAAAAATAATGTGCATTTTGAAGTTGAATAAATGAACAAGCATGTTGCCCTGCTTTAGTCACTTTAGCATGGCCCAGTAAGCTCGCCCACTGTCTGCTGCTTTATTTATATAGTGCCTTATGTAATAAACATGTAGTTGATTACCTAACCTTGATCAAATTATTCTTGGTTTATTCATGTTGCTGGGCAATGTGTCATTTACTGTGAGTGCTGGTAGCAACTTCAGAGTCTCCAGAGAGTTTGAAATCCACAAAATGAATGTGTGTGTCCAAACCAACAAAGTTTCTTGCTCATGTGCATGCTGCCTTTGTGCAAATTCTATGCACTCACCTGCCACCCTATGACTTTTCTTCTCCTGTCACCCCTTTGCATCTCAGACATGGTCAAGAGTTACCTACAACCATGAGTAAACAGCTCACTTTGCCATCACTGCCAATGTATTCCTGTGAAACGTGAGCTGGAATATTTAGCTGCTAAAAGTATAACTGCTTTTGCTCATGATCAGTATACAGACAAAAGTATTTTGAACCATTTATTGAGTTTGGTCCACAACAGGCTTGTCAAGAGAAATGCATCAATTTTTGTTGCTTGTCTGGGTTGTGTCCCCCTGAGATTTGTTGTCACCATGGTTTTCACAGCGTGTCTTCTCTGTCTGCATACCTTCTTCTAGCCTTGGTGAGCCCGGGGCTCTCCCACAGATTTGATGGTGCCACTCGTGTCCTGTGGGAGCTGGAAGGACAGGCTGCTGTCTTCTGGCATGTTTGCTTAGCTTATCCCTGCAGTACGCCTTGCTGGTGCCTTGTCATTAATTTTTCTTTGTTGCAAGCTGACAACAGCCATTATTTTTATTAGCAAAGAGGCCAAATGAGGAGTTAATATCATGGTGAGGCTGATTATCACCTCAGAAGAGCCTATGCAAATCTAATGCAGGTCATAATGCCTTGTTTTCCCTTGAAGTTTTGTGCCTCCATCCTTAGCTGAGATGTGTTTTAATTTGTTTTGTTTCTTACTGCCAAGTCCAGCTGTAATAGTCAGCTTCTGCATGTCTGTTCGGGTCTTGCTGGCTATCAGCATTGGGGAAAGAAATTAGTGCTGCCATGGTTTGAATTTGGACCTTGCATGTAGCCTGACTGGCTCTCAGGGATGCAGTTAGTGAGAACAGTGGTCCCTTGTATGGGGAGGGGGAATTGCTCTTTGTGGGACTGATAAAGCTAATTAGTGCTGTTAATAAACATCAGGACATCATTGTGAGATGCTTTGACTCTCTAGCATCAAAAAGCTCATCAGTGGGACTAAGCTGGTGAGCCTGAGTGTTTTTTTTTTTAGCTATCTTTGATTTTAGGAATAAGAAGAAGAGCATTTCAGAGGGAGAATTGTGGGGAGAATGAAATGTGGTCACTCCACTGCTGGCATGTAGCCGTGTTCTGCTCAGTGCCAGCTCAGTGTTCTCCTCCCTGCTGGGAAACCCTGAGAGGTTTTAGAAATGTTTGGAAATACAGATCTAAGAGCTCTTGTTGTATGAAATCTGTGGTGATGAAAGGAAAGAAGGAGTCAGAGGATTTCCTGTGCAGCTGTATATAACTTTCAGTAATATTCGTAGAGTTTCAGAAACTTTCATGCCCCCTCCAGGACTTTGTTCAGAAAACTGTAAGTTCTGTTAAATTCTGTTTACCACACAAATAATCTTGCAAAAGCTTCTGCATTTTGTTTTGTCAGTTCTGACACCAGTTTCCTTTTAAACGGGATACTCAACCCAAATGGCCTCCTGACTTTTTCCAGACCTTTCAGCATTGTTTCTAGACAAGTATAAGCTTCGGAGAAGTGGAGGATGTTTGATTTATTTAATAAAACTTTGTGTCTGATGATATTCTTTGAGGAACACGTGAATAAACTCTACTCTGATCACCCGTTGATGTGTGTACTCACTGCTCTTCTTCCTGTTGTGCATGTGGACATGGTGCAGTGCGTTTGGTCCATACACGGTCCAAGCATGGGCATTTCCAGTGACTTTGTATTTATTTCTTTAGGACATAGTGATGTAATAGAGTCTTAAAGTTCATTAAGCAGCTTCCAGCCAACACAGATTTAGTTTTTGGGAAGCAGATGCTGGTTTTAGTGGGAAATTTGAATTTCCTTTGCAGATTTCTAAGCTGCAGGGAACAACTTGCGTGCCACTGTATGTGCTCCCTGCTGCATGTTACCTTCATGTGCTGGTGCACAATGTGATGACATCCAGCCTTCTGGAAAAGGCTTTAAAATACACTTAGGAGGTACTTATTTCCCCCCTTCTCATTATCCAGTGTGAGAATGTTTGCATGCAGCTTTGGAGTCCTTAGTACAGGAAAGACATGGACCTGCTGGAGATGGTCCAGAGGAGGGCCACAAAAATGATCAGAGGACTGAAACGTCTCTGCTGTGAGGAACGGCTGAGAGAGTTGGAGTTATTCAGCCTGAGATGACTACAGGAAAACCTTATTGTGGGCTTTCAGTTCTTAAAAGGGGCCTATAAAGAAAAATGGGGAGAGAGTTTTTAGCAGGGCCTGTTGTGATGGGATGAGGGGTGATAGTTTTAAACTGAAAGAGAGAGATTCAGGCTGAGGGAGAAATTATTTACGATGAGGGTGGTAGAACACTGGCAAAGGTTGCCCAGAGAAGCTGTGAATGCACCATCTTGAGTCATTCAAGGCCAGGCTGGATGTGGTTGTAGGCAACATGATCTAGTTGCAGATGTCCCTGCTCATTGCAGGGGGCTTGGACTAGGTGACCTTTGAAGGTCCCTTCCAGCCCAAACTATTCTGTGATTAAATTCTGTGTTTCTGTGTTTGATTCTCCAGTGTTGTGTTCTAGAAATCTGCCTTGAAAACACTGCTGTCTTCATGGAAAGCATTTGGTTCTTTCTCAGTTGAAATAAGCCATTTTGAGAAGCACAAAACTCCACTCAGCAGTGTTTCCACAGGGGACCTCCTAGCCATTCTCTGAAAGTTCACCAGTAAGAAGATATGTGTAAACCAGAATACCTTGTCCTTTCCCCACTGCAGTACTGGCGTTCCCAATAATGGAGGTGTACATCGTTTCCAGCATCCCTAAAACTTCTGTGGAGTCTCTTTACCTCTTTTGCCTTTTGCTGCTAACTATTTTTAACTTGAGCTAAGTCCAGTGTTCCTGTAGCTTGGCAGTCTGCCCTTGTGGGGCAGCACCTTGTCCTGGATGCTCTGAGGTGTGTTGTGTAAAGACACATGGTAGCTGTGCATGGGTCAGTGCTGCATGCAGGCTGCCAGAGAGGGTCTGGAGGGGCTAGAGGGGCTTCGGTAGATGTCGATGCTGGAGGAGTTGGAAATGCTGTAGAGGGTGGTGAAGACTGGAAGGGCTGGCATCCAAGTGACCTGTGGCTGTGACCCAGATTTTTATTCAATTGAGTGTGAAATGCAGCATCCAAGCCAGAAATCGTCAAAGCCAGAAGCTGTTTAAACCTGTCTTGACACCGCATCCTTCACTTGGTTACCTAAAACGTTGTCATTGCTGACAAGACTTTGTTTCCTGCATCTCCCCTGCTCAGGGAGGATAAGCTGCAGCATTGCTCTCATGGGAACCAGTTGGCCCGCTGTGATACCTGGCAGAGTGATTGTTCACAGGTTCTGAGGCTGTCTCAGTGTCTTAAGATGAAACTACAATATATTGTGCTATTTGAGAGATAGTGTGTGTCTATGGCAGCATAGAGGCATGCCCAGGTACAGCAGTGGCATGGAATTTGGTGATCCAGCAAAGTGGAGCCTTTTCTCTGTCTGCCCTTGTGCACCAATCTAGCACTGGTCCAGGTCAGTGCTTATTGGATGCTATCTGAAGGTAGCAATTTGGCTTAAGGTTTATAGCCACTATTTATAAGTCATCTGGGCTGATCAGTTGTGAGGCATCCTTGTAGGGATTATGGGATCTGCGTGCAGGCTTTTAGATCTTGGCGATCCCTGAGTGGAGAAGGGAAGGTAACCCAACCTACCTAACTGAAGAAAACCAGGGCAAGATGGGCTTGCAGTGTTGTCCTGAGATAACTGAGCTGACAGAGAAAAGGCAGGAGAGGAAAATTTTAGCAGAGACAGAAGGTGTTCTCAGTGGAGCATCCCTTGTGGAGGAGCTTCATGCTGGAGGCTGTGGTGGTGACTGAGGTCAGCCTGGGTTAACACAGGGCCTGATGCTGCTGGGCAAGCCCAGCTAACTGCACAGGCACATCCCCTGGCATGCCCCAACACTGCAGGGATGTGAGGGTGAGCACTAGCACCTCTCTTGCATGGCCATCCCACTCTGAACTGAGCTGGTGTTTTATATCTCCTGATGTGTGGCACTTCTGCTGTGGAATGTGAAGGAACAGGAGGTGTTTCCAGCAGCTCCTGTAGTGGGGACTGTGTGGCCGGAGGAGGCTGGCTCTGGCTGGAGATGCAGTACCACACAGCTGGTGCCTGCAGAATGGTGGTGAAGCAGGAGCCCTGGTCTCCTGCAGATCAGATTGAAGCCTGATGGGAGCTGAAGGGGAAGATGCATGGTTTAGAACCTGTAGGTGCAGGGTCCTCAGCCTGCTTTGAAATGGACTTGGCAAGTGCTGAACAGAGTGATTTTTGTGGAGACAGGGGGTGGAACAGAGGTCTTGCATTATGTACGGGACAGCCCCTGAAACTTCAGCATGGGCAGCCAGTAGCAGAGCCAGTGTGGGTTTGTAGGAACAGCGTTGTATCAGCTAAAGGCTTTGTCTGCCCTGCTCTACCATAGTGGCTTTACTCTGTGTCAGCACTTTGCTGTGTCCTTTTTGATCCCCTCTGAATAGCCAAAAGGCAGATTCACTGTGTGTAAGCACTCCTTTTAGGTCTGCCCATGCAGCTGTGCTAACCCTGCCCACAGCTTTGTTTCTGGATTTCCTGTGAACATTAACTCCCCAAACCCATAGTTACATTTGCAAGTCTTCCATCCCCAACTTCTGTTTGTTGCTCAATTAATACACTCTTAGTGGCCAGTGAACCTGTGGGGGCAATAAGAGGCTGATTTTAGTGTGCCTGCCCAGCAGAAATGCAGGGGAGCATTATATACTGGCAGTGAGCTCTGACTCTTGTCAATGCTTCCTCTGAAGGGCTTAACTACATCCAGAGTTATTCTGCAGCACCTTCTGCAGTAGCTGTCACATTCTTCACTTCCATTGTGCTTTTATCAGGCTACATTTTCTACTGTGATAACTTAATAAGCACTTGTACTTCTTTATGCCTTTGTTTAATGATTGTGTGATGAATCCTGTCTCAGATTGCTGTGGGTTTTGTGTACTGAAGGCTACCTGACTTAAGAGAGCCCCTGTTCCTTTTTGCAGGGAGCATCACTTTCAACTGAAAAGGTCTCTGGAATGAACAAATAACACCTTTTTATGTAATCCTGTAAGAGGCTAAGATAGCTGAGGTTTTCTGATGAGATATTCCAATAGTGCCTTCAGTGCTGTCTGCTGCTCACAGCATTTTGTGTGTTCAGGGTGTTCCACGTCAGGATTTTCCCCACACTTTGTTAGGGATCTAGGAAAGCTCCCTGTATGGCACTTTCCAAATCAAGCAGTTTTCCTCATGTGAAACAGGGAGGTGATTTTCCTCTGAGGCAGCACTCCTGCTTGCTCACAGGAGCTTTCTGGGAATACTTAGCTGCTGTTTCCATGAAACAACCAATTTTTCTTCTCTGACATTCATTCACTGGATTTTCTGATTGGAAGAGTGTGTATATAACCCTTCATCTGCATAGATCTCATCAACAGCTCCATTTCATTACCTTCTGTCTTTTGCTTTTTTGTTACAGATAAACTGTGTGACTTTCCCCCACCCTGACATAATGCCAGAGCAGCAGTTGCTGAAACCTTCAGAGTGGAGCTACTGTGATTATTTCTGGGTAAGTAGGCAGCCAGCCACATGCCATATTGCAGCTCTTGAGCTGCTGAAAAAGTGGAACAAACAGCTTGATTTGTGGTACAAAGTAAAGGAGAATTTGGGCTGAAATGCAGAATATTAGGGCAGCACAAGGGAGACTGAAGACACCAGTGGAAACCATCTCAATGGTGTCAGATGTGGACAATTATCAGAAGAATGTCCAGAAAGGCAAGGTCAGCTCTCAGGAGATGGTTTTGGTCAGTAAATGGGGAGGATGTAGGACAAACTACACATCTCGAAATACCTCAGCCAAAAGGGCTATGCAGCAGGAGGTGGCTGGCAGGCAATGATATTTCACTGTTTCCAGAGCATGAGAATTAGGAATGCATGAGGAAGCTGGGAGTATCACATTTATAACAAGCAAATAGAATCATAGAATGGCTTGGGTTGGAAAGGGCCTTAAGCTCATTTAGTTCCAACTCTTGCCATGGGCAGAGACCCCTCGCACTAGACCAGGTTTCCCAAGGCCCATCCAGCCTGGCCTTGAACGGTGCCGGGGATGGGGCATTCACTTAGATTCAATACCCTGCATTTGAAGACAGCCAATTTAGAAATGGAAGCTCAGATCTCATTACCAAATTCAGATCTCTGCCTTGCTCAAATATATCTCTGGGTTAATCCATCATAAAGATGAAAATCAAGTCGCTGAATTTGGTGAAGGTCCTTTACAAACTTTCTGTTAAATTGGAAAACTCTCCTATGGGATATTCTGTAGGAGAGATGATAAATGACTTTTTAAAGGATGAGGTTTGAGGAGGACAGGCTTCTAAGTAGCTATTAAATGGAATAGTTTTAATGCAGGCTTCAGCAGGGGAAGTCTCTAGTGACTGTGTTTCTGTGTGTGCCCTCTCGCACTTAGCTCCGCTTTCAGGATCCTGAATCAGATTAAAATGATGTAATAGTCCTTCAAGTGTGGAGCTGATAGAAAAAGACTCTTCTACTGGGAAGCTTTTTTTGGGGTGGGTGAAATGCCGCCTCCAAAGTGAAGATTTTCTGAATTTTGGGTGTGTTTTCAGTTATGGGATGTTGAAGGATTTCCATTTCAAACATCAAAATAAAGAGTTTTACTTACAAAAGTGTACGTGTTGGAGGCACAGCAGCACTTCCCCTCATGTGTACTCAGTGTTGGTATCGTAACTAGTGGCAAGTTGTAGTAACTTGCTACAATACGCTGACATAATTGCAAATTGTGACATTCCCAAACCATCAGATTTTCTTCAGCTTCTTCCAGTATTGTGATCCCAATGAGCAATAAGTCATTCATGGTGTAGACGCTTATGTTTTGCACATGTCTTGCAGAAGTCACTGCCCTCTTTGGTGCTTTCCATTTAATCTTGGCCACCACTTGGTTCCTTGGTTTTGGTCCAATCTTGCTGTCAGTGAAACTCCACTGAAAGCTGCCTTCTGCAAGCTTGTATCCTCCCATAGCTCTGCTCCCAGGACTTTTCCTCTTGTTTGGTCTTGTCATCCATGACTTGCCTTCCTTCTTCCATCAGCTCCACTCCTCCCATTGTCTCAGCTGCCCAGTGCCTGGTATCGTACTTGGATTAATGTGGCATTTTCCTTTGTGCAGATGTGCAGCACCCAGCGCATCAGAACAAAACCCGTAGCCCTTAGGGAAGTGTTTTCCATGCCTGTTTGTTGGAAGAGGGTAGGAAATTAAATTCTGAAATAGAGAAATGCCGAAAGATCAGGGAGAAAAGAGCAGAGAGAAAACTGACCTGGTCCTTGTAGTGACCCTGAAGTCAGTGGAGCAAAGGGTAGAAAGGGCTGTGTTGGAAACAGTGAAAGATGGGATGTGTGGTAGTAACCTGTTGAACAAGTTGCTGCTTTGCTTTGCCTTACAGCCGACCTGTGCTGTATTTTTTTGAATGCAAGTCAGGGTTGAGCCTGACAGTCTGTTAAAGGTTGTTTAAGGCTACATTACCCCTGGAAGGAGCAAGCAGTGTCCTCCCTGTCTTCCTCCTCCTATTCTCTTGTGCTGCCTTTCTCTATGCAGGGTGGGCCATTGGGGCTCATGCTTGCCAGAGCCAGCCCCAGTGCTGGGGCATTGGAGTAAGAGGATGGGGAAAGAGAAAGTATTGGACTGTTCCTCTGACAGGGGCTGAGGTGCTTCAACCATCAGCTGTGATCAGGGAGGGCTCTTTGACCACCACTGCTGCCTGTAGCCCTGACTCCTTGGGCAGTAGAGGCTTGGAGCTACATGTCTGTGCTTTTGATCCCCGTATCTTTTTGTTGAACTTGCTTTTTCCTTCCAGGCCGATAAGAAGGATTCGCAAGGGAACAATACAGTGTCGGGATTTGAGATTCTTCTTCAAAAGCAGCTTAAAGGGAAACAAATGCAGAAAGAAATGGCAGAGTTTGTTCGAGAAAGGTAAAGAGCACTTTGCTATTAAATGAACTGTTTATGGCAATATATATTTTTTCCTGATTTAGATATTCCTTTGGTACATTAATTAAACTATGTAAAAGATATGCTACCAATTCATAAAGAACATTTTAATTTTCCTTTAATGTCCATCCACACTCTCCAACTTGCCTCTCCTGCTTTGCACACTGGCTGTCCATTTAGGTAGAGGGAACCAAGAAGGTTTTACATTGCAGATTCAAGGAAAACTTGAACATGGAAAAAACAAGGTGAAGGTATTTTGAAAGGAACTATTTTGCCTGAAAAATAGAGAAGCAATTTGTTGACATAGAGCATAAACACAGTTACCTAGAGGAAGATGTAAAAAGACATCACTTGGGAATTCAGGTGGATATGGAGCTGAAGTACACATAAAGATATTTAGAGTGAGCCCCAAGTCCTAAAGGCAGATGTCTTTACCAGAAAATGGCAGAACGCTGTTAATGGTCTGTTGCTCTGCTGATATGGGAGGTGCACTGAGCACCAAACAAGCAGTTGATAGATGCTCAGTTCAACCAGGTACAGGAGATGATGTGACATCATTACTCGTAAGTAGTGTCAGTATTATTTGAAATCATTTGTCATGTGTCCAGGCCAGTGTAAATCATCTTGAGGATGACTCTCACAACTTGAGAACAGCCTATAGGGAAAAAGCAGTGTTTATTCCCAGGAGGAAGGCAGATCACGCTGGTGCTCTTGTCTTTTTTAAGGTATTAAAGATGTGGCAGCAGTGGAGAAATGAAAAGGATAGGCCAGGCAATGAGGACAGTGATACAGGAGGTGCAGAGGGCCCAGCATCCACATGTGGTTCATGCTGCCTGTGACATAAGACAGTCCAAGGGACAGTGTACTCTCTGACCCAGTGTGACCAGAGGATGCAGGTAGAAGGAAGGACTAGCTGACAAAGAAAAAATACAGTCGAAAAATAGGCTTGCTAAGCTGGAAGATGAGGAGAAGGTGAGCAGAATTGTGATAGCCATGGACAGGGAAAAGAGGAGGGTATCTGCCCCAAAGAAAGTAATACATAATAAAATCTGGTAGAAACAAAAGAAGGGAGCATTCGAGAGGGATGGAAGGTTGACATGAAATGAGAGAACAAAGAAAGAACAGCTCTGACACTGAGAAGAGGCATGTTTATGTCCTCAGTAGAGAGAAGTAGGCATGTTGGTAGAAGGAAAGGCAGAAAAGATTCACTGTGTGCTGGAAACAAGGTTTGGAATTAATTGTGAAGAGAATCTAGATGGGAGTTATAAAAAGATGAATACATTTTCCTTCTGTTTGGAACAAATGATTCAGGAGTGCTGTGTGTGGAAAATGAGGAGGATTGTGTTGAGTTGGAGAAGTTACTCACAGAAATGAGACTTCAGGCCATCAGGGGAACCTTTACATTTCCAGCTCAGAGGGAAGAAGGACTGATAGGAAGAAGGACTCGGGGAATACAAGACTATGTATAGGTGTTTTCATGTCCAGAAAAATCCTCTCCATCTGCCTTCTGGAGGTGAGGTTTAGGCAGCTGATAAAAAAAGCTTTAAATAGGAAGCAGGGATGAGACGTGATAACCATATTACTTCATCAATTAACCAACAAGAAGCAACACTAACTGAAATTCAGTTTCTCAAGTAGGTTCTTTAAGAGGAACTACTTGTAAATAGCAATTCTGTGTTTATTCAGCACCTGTTGACAAAGGTAGGGTTATAACACAGACTTTGAATTTGAATAAAACAGGCCTGAAAACAGGAGATCAAGGGTGTGGGTGTGAAGGAAAGGAAGAATTGCTTTAAATCGAAAGTAAAAATATGGTCCAGCATTTGCATTAGAACAGCCAAGAAAATATGCAGACTGCCCAGAATAGCATCAGTCTCTGAGTATGAATTAGTAGCAAAGGAACACAAATTGGGCTTTTGGCCTCTCACTTTTTTCATCAAGCTGGACTGTGCTTGGAAAATGTAAATCAGATTGTTTAGCTGCTGCCATGTTCAGCAGGTGGTTGTAAGCACCTTCCACTCTGTCTCATCCTTTTGAGTCTTTCTATATTTTTGGCCACTACAACAAATGGACAAGATTTCTGCAGTCTGTGTACTACAGGAAAAGTGATTGTGCTGTTGTTTGATAACTTCATTGTTCCCTTCTAATCTGGAGAAATAGTGTAAAAAAAAAAAAAAAAACTTAAAGTCACAATCACTATCTTCATCCAGTGGCAGTTGTGTAGATGTCTGTCAGATACCCTCTATTCACCTTTTCCCTGTGTTCCCTGTGTTGTCTTAAGCTATTTAGTTTCTTCTTGCATGGTAGTCACATCAGATCATCTTTGCCTCCCCTTGGAGCTCTCCGTTTTTTCTTCATCCATTGTAACAGCGTGACTGAAAGTATCTGGGTGTGAGCACACAAAGTACTTTATTTCAAAAGAAGCATAAGAGCAAGGAATAAAACTCCAAAGAGCAACTAGAACTAAGGACAGCATGGGTCAAAATGTACTTATAATGCTTTGGAAACACAGGGAGTGAGGTTGGGAAACTTCTTAAACAAGTTAGTGGGAACCAGAAACATGGAGGGGGTTTGGGTGTGAAGGTGTAGTTGAAGGTGTAGTTGACCTGTGCTCCCTTTCCAGTCCATAGAAATTGCCACTTCTAAGACAAGATTAGCCTCATCGTGAAGTAGATATTTAAAGTAGGTCAAGTGAAGCGTGCCTGGATCAAACCCTTTACATTGTGAGGTCCTAACCACGGCATAGCCTTGGTGCTGAAAGCTGTATTTGTTGGTCTTGCTGCAGCAGGTGTGAGGAGCTGTCTGGTTTTGTTCTCATGGGAGGGGGATGAAGAAGCCCCCACATGCTGGGCATGCTCTGTAGTTGTACTGTGCTGTACCAAGCTGGGTATCACCTTGGGCTTCAGCCAGCTGCATCCCACACAGTGACATGCACATCCTATTTTCAGAAGCCCAGAATATCAGACCCCTCTTAGCTGGCTCTAGGGATCCCTTTTGTCTCAAATACAGCCTGCATAACAGTGCTTGCTCAACTAGCTACTGCCAATGGGCCTGCCAAAAATACCCCACCTTCTGTCCTCTCAGTGGAAGGAGGTGGATTTCTAACCAGGCTTTTCCCCTGCTTGTTCACAGTTTAGCACAAAATCAGGAGTTGCTCCACCTGGATATCACTCAGCTCTCTCTTAGAGGTGCTTTATTGAGCAAACTAATTTGAAAACCAGCCAAGAGCCATTTGTTTGCCCTAGTTGGGATCATGTGTACCTTGCAGATGTCTCACTTAGGAGAACTCAGGGTAGTTGAAGATCGTTTTCAAGCATGATGCATGTCACCTCTGCACCAGCAGCTGCTCTTTCCCTCCCTGCTGTGCAGCCAGCATTTATCCTTGTCCCCTTGTTCAACCCATGTTTTCATACTGGTTGTGTGCCAACAGTCTCCCTCTTGTGCACCTCCACTGAGGGCAAGCTCAGATCCTGTTCCTGTGTGGTGCTGCTGAGTGAGCAGAGAGGAGGACAGGGTAGTGGGCATGATGGGTGAATGGTAGCAGCTGCACCACCACTTGTAGGTGGCAGGAGCCCTTGCCATATCTTCACCAGCTTTGTTATCTGTCATGGGGATCAGGAAGCACTTGTATTCCTAGGAAAGGTGTAGTCCAGCACCACAAACCTCATTTGTATTTCTCCTGCAATGATTCATTCCTTAATCTTTGCCTCGAGGATGTGTGAGCGCACGTTTAGTGGCAGACTGAAACACATTTCTCAAGTGTGCCCGGTTTTGCAAACAGTCCATGTTGCACAGTAGAAGCACTTTGTTCTTGTTATTTGCTCTCCAGAACTGTAGCTTTTCCTTCAGATTTTATCACACATCTATCCATGCTCTTGCCACTGCATTTTTGGCATATGGAGGGGAGAGATGGAACCTGAAACTGGTGCTGCCAAACCCTGGAGACTGAAAGTAAAATTCCTGTGGCAAAATGTGTTAAAATGCAGAGAATTTCTTGAAACGATGTGTGTGGGTTTCTGCCTTAAAGCTTACTTACTGCTATCTTTATTTTCTCTGTGTGTGTGTATGTGTGTGAGTGTAGGATAAAGATTGAGGAGGAATATGCGAAGAACCTGTCCAAGCTGTCTCAGAATTCCTTGGCTGCTCAGGAGGAAGGGTAAGTGTGTCTCTTTGACTTTTGCAGAAGACAAAGATTTTAACATAAAAAGCATTCCTCCCACACAGGTACATGTACTTTTCCTGAGCTCTCCCATTGAGTAGAGGTTTATTTAGCTCAGCATCCTGCGTGTGTTGGGAAGGATAGAATTGCTTTTCTTATTTTCCTTATGAAGATGTTTATGGTACAGTTTTACGTATATGCATATGTTTCCAGTAATGTGTTTATGCTGTCCTTATTCTAGCCAGCACTAGCTCCTTTAAAGATTAGCATGTAGAAGTACTAAACTACTTTGACTATGGAAGTATATATGGAATATACTTACTGCTGAAAGTAGATCCATAAGGTCAGGCCAGTAGAATTGTAGCAGCACAGACTGAGAGGATGAAGTTCCTTCTCATCGTGGGTCTGGCTCTCCAAGAGAAGCAGCAGGTTGTCCATTACAGCATGTTCACACTTCAGAAGTTATTAAGAAGGTATTAGGCAATGCACTTCAGATTAGATTGCAGTTCAGTGAAAATAATGGAATGACACCACTCCTGAAGGATTAGAAGTTGTTAGCTCTGTCTGTTCCAACACAAGCCATCTAAGCACTGAAAGCCAAGCTTTGAAATTATTATCCTCATCCTAGTTCTGACACAGGGTGTTTCTACTGGCAGTGAAGCTCCACAAGGTGTTTGCTCAGCTTCCAGTAAGCAAGGACAGAAAGTGCAGGAGGCTAACTAGGCTTCTCCAAGTACCTCCCTTGACAGTGGTTTCTGTTCTTCTTTCCCCTTTAGGGGAGGGTGCTAACCTGCTTGTAGCAAACTAAAACAGCTTTCTTCTGCATCCTCCTCCCACTTTTTCTACCCCGAATACGAGAAGGAGAAAATATCTGAAACAATGAAGGGGGAGAACACTAGGGGAGAGTAGTTGAAAAGAGAGGAATGAGGACTGAAGCATAAAAAATGTTGAAGTAGGGAGGTAAGGGGACACGGAGCAGAGTGCAGGGAGCTAGGAACACTGCCCAGTGGTGCTCTGTCTGGGGGGGTGGCAAGGTGAGGGAGTGGAATGAGGTCCTGCTGGTATTTTTCCTCCTGGTGCTATAGTGGCCAGACTGGCTAGGGCCAGGAAGAGGCTAGTGAGAAGATCCTGAGAACTGGTAAGGCCCTGGGAAGGGGAAAGGTTCCATTTAAAGAAGTGAGGGAGGAAGAGCAGCTAACAGGAAGATTTGAAGGATCCAGAAGTGAGACTGCAGCCTAGCACACTCAAAGTAAGCATTCACCAGGGTCTTCCTCTCATTCCTGGGAAGGTATGAGTTGGGGGACCCAATGAACTGCTCTGTGAACATACCAGTTACCACTGCTGGTTTCATACTCTACAGACCATTTTCCAGCTTTGCTGTCTATGGAATTGTCACAAAGTACGAGCTGTCCCTCCAAGGTCCTCTGCCCTCCTTTGGTGGTAAGAAGACCCACCATCATGTATGTGAGTGGAACACAAGGGTGCTGAGATGGGACTGATTTGTATTATCGGGATGGTTCTGTGCCAGTTGCTGAAAGTAAAGTGCTGTTGCATGTACACAGAAGGTGATATGATCCATACATCCAATCAAGTCACTGTAGCTGGATAAGAGATGCAGAAGATGCTTAGCAGACATCTTCCGTTGAACAGATCAGGCAAAATAGTGCCAGTGAGAACTGACAGTGGGAGGGTACCTCAGGGTGGAACTAGAGAAGAAGAGCTGAGAGCATTTACGTAGGTGAAACAATCTCAGGTTGTTTAGCTGTGGTGAACACCATGCTTGAGGAGTCAACTCATTGGAGCAACCTCAGAGATGACAAATGAGTGTTTTGAAATTGCAGATCACAGGCAATTTTTCAGGCTATGAGGAAGGGGCAAATCTGACTGAATAGGGCTGGGTGAAAGAAAGGAGGAGCTAGGACATTGTAGATCACTCAGTTTTGTTTAACCTCTGAAAAGTGGTAGAATAAACTATCAGGCTTTCTAGAAGCACTCAGTGGAAAACTAAGGTGATGAGCAATTTTTGTGGATGCCTACAGAGCAAACAGCCTCAAACCAACCTTCATTCTTCCAGTGATGGAGTAAAAGAAAAGAAGAGGTCAGCATCATAGCTCTTAATTTATGCAATTTAATTGCAATTTATGCAATTTAATTGCAGTTTATGCAATGGGAGATTCTTGTAGGGAGGCAGGCCTAAATAAACCCTAAGGTGCAAAATTAGGTAAGAATATTGCTACAGGGACTGTAGCAGTAGGACAAGGGGGAATAGGTTTAAACTTACGCAGAGGAAGTTTGGGTTAAATATAAGGAAGAAGCTCTTTACTGTGAGGGTGGTGAGGCGCTGGCACAGGTTGCCCAAAGAAGTGCTAAATGTTCCATCCCTGGCAGTGTTCAAGGCCAGATTGGACAGAGCCTTGGGCAACATGGTCTAGTGTGAGGCATCCCTGCCCATGGCAGAGGGGTTGGAACTGAATGATCTTAAGGTCCTTTCCAACCCAAACTATTCTGTGATTCTATGATAAGGTTCATCACAAATCCTGATTTATTTTTCTATGTCTTTGTTGTTAACCTTGGATAGAATAAATTACGGGTTTACTGTGATCAGAGATGAGACAGAGCTGGGAGCGGTGGTGTGTACAATTTGAAGGAAAGCTTGCAATTCAAAATGATGTTGTTAAACTAGAGAAATGAACTGGAGAGAAATAAAAATGCATTTCAATGAGGACAAAGTCCCAGGTTTTCTACTTTCACAGGATGTGAAAGATACACTTACATAACAGTTTGTGGGAGAAGGATCTGGCTGTAGTGAATCACCAGCTTATTCATCAACAGCTTCACAACATTGTCTAAAAAAGCATCACACTGGGATATGTAGAAGAAAGAGTGTCTGATAGGAAATAATCTGTTACCAGTTTAGCAACTGGAAGAGACAGTGTAGTTTAGGTTATGGTGCTTTAAGAGGAATCCAGGCTGTTGGAGGGGGTCTGGAGGAATGTACCTAAACTGCCATTAGCTAACAAATAACCTATCTGAAGGAAAAGAAGATGTAATGGTTTTCAAATACTGAAAGGTTCTCTGAGGAGAAGCAGAATAATCCATTCACCAAAAGGAGGGTGTAGAGTAGAATGAGCAATGGAAAAACTGCACTGGTGAAGGTTTATTTTAAGAATTAGAAAAGAAACACTTTGTTCTGCTGAGGATAAGATACTGAAGTAGCTTGCTTATGGAGACTGGCATCTCTGTGACAGGAGATCACTATGGCAGTGTTCTCAAAGATAATTCTGCCTTGGTCACAGAGATCAGTGATCTTCTCAGATTTCTGCTGTCACTTTGCCATGATTTTGCTGAGCAAGATATGGTACAAAGTGTGGTACCATGTCTGTCTGCCACTGTCTGACCAATCTTGCAGGATGCACAGGAGGATGTGGGCATTGATCATTGTTGCTCTGTGTTCTTTCAGCACACTAGGAGAGGCTTGGGCTCAGCTAAAGAAGAGTCTAGCTGATGAAGCAGAGGTTCACCTCAAATTCTCTTCCAAGGTAAGTAGTTCTTCCTTTTTGCAAATATTTTTGCCATGTCATTGATGTGGATCTACCTTCAGTGCTTGTTAGTGGGGAAGATACCCATATATAGGGTACAAATGTAGAACTGATGAACAAACTTACTGAAACTCTGTCCATGCTTCCTGACAGAATCCTGGCTTTTTTAATTTGCCTGATCAGGTAAGTTAAATGATATTTAACTTCCTGATCAGTAAGTTAAAACACATCTAACCTTAATTTTCCATTTTTTTTTTTTTAATGAAAAGAAAAAAGGGAAACTGATTCTCGAGGTTATTCACTTAGGGCAATGTGTTCCAGTAAATTTACTTAGAGCTCGTACAGATTATTACTTTAGAGGAAGAAATGAAAAATAATGTTTGGCTTCTCAACAAGAATCTACTGTATCTGTTTGGAAAGAAGAGAACCAGGACGCTGACTTTTTCATATCATTAGCCTTTGTGCATTGGGAACTTCATGTTATTTTTGGATCTTCTCTCAAGTGATCCCCAAGGAGATTTCTTGTTCAAATTATGGTATTTAACTGTTTTTTTTCCACCACATGTGACACATTCTTGCATCCTGTCACATTCTCTTAACCTCTGTGGGTGATCAAGTTCAGTACAGTGGTAGATAATCTCAGTACAACAGCCATGTTCTGGAGGAAAATTATAGCTCTGCACTGTTTGTAAGTGATTATGCAGAGGTTACTCAGGCAACCAGCCGCTGCCTTGGTAACCCATTGCTCTGCTTCAAACTTCTACTTCAGAGCTGTAATTAGTGAAATACTTTTTGCTCCCCATTGTGTTCCTGTATTGTTTTCCAAGTGGAAGAAATGCAGCCTGGAGTGGGGTATGCAGGGAGGCAGGCAATGGATAGGGGCTCCTTCATTATTTTACTTAAACCCTGCACAGAAACTCCTGTAGCATCATCCAAACTCTCCCCACTGTTTCCAGTGTACCTGCTTTGGGAATTCCTAGTTCTTTCTTTTGTTAACAGAATATGATTTTAAACACATTGATTATTGCTATTGCTTTCAGGTAAGTCATTCTTAGAAGTAGTAGTTATATTTCTCATTGATATTTGAACAACACCAGTCAGTGCAGTGCAGAGCACACCAAGAGTATTGAAACACAAACACCAGCCTTGAAGACACTGAACATGTTTGTGACAGTCCTTCATAGCACTGTTACAGTGGGGGTCACGGGTGACAGCACTTTTATGGCACTTGGAGCAAGTCCAGAGGAAGCTACAAGGATGATTAGGGGCTGGAGCACCTTCTGTATGAAGACTGAGAAAGTTGGGGCTGTTCAGCCTGGAGAAGAGAAGGCTGCGTGGAGACCTCAGAGCAGCTTCCAGTGTCTGAAGGGGGCTACAAGGATGCTGGCAAGGGCCTCTTCTTCAGGGTCTGTAGCGATAGGACAAGGGGTGATGGGTTCAAACAGAAACAGAGGAAGTTCAGGTTAGTTACAAGGAAGAAATTCTTTACTGTGAGAGTGCTGAGGAGCTGGCACAGCGTGCCCAGAGAAACTGTGAATGCTCCATCCCTGGCAATGTTCAAGGCCAGGTTGGATGGGGCTTGAAGCAGCCTGGTCTAGTGGAAAGCGTCCATGCCCATGGCAAGGGGGTTTGAACTGGATGAGCTTTAAGGTCCTTTCCAACCCAAGCCATTTTATAATTCTGTGAAACATAAAATATTATTACACTGCTAATGCCTCTAGATACTGGCATGGCACGTGTATATATACATGCACACGTGGAGTCCTTCAAGAAGGCTGTCATGGAAGTGAAGCTTTTCTCCAGTTATGTGATTATCCCTCAGTGAGCTCTAAGAGGTGAGTTCTGCTGGAAGAGAAGGTGCACAGGTGTTTTAGTGTTGAAGTCATGATGGGCTGGCCTGGATATGATGGTGTGTTACCCCCATTCTGGAAATGGTACTGATGGAGCAAAGGGGAAAAATAAGTAATTGTGAAATCAGAATTGATTTCACAAACTCAGCTGGTTTGTTTCTTCAGCATCTAATACTGTGATTAAACCCATGCCTCTGTCTTTCTGCCTAAGTCTCTACCATACTGGTACAGAGATACATGATCTCTGTCCTGTACTTATTTTAGCAAACTTCCTAACTTATTTTAACAAACTTCTTGAGATTTCAAGTCCTGTGTTGCATCTCACCCATTTAGTGATGGGTGTCAGAGCTGTCTGTATACACTGGCGCTTTAAATTCCTTTATCTTAGGAAAGTAGTTTATGTTTTTTTCATCTATTGCTTGGATTTGTAAGTCTTGAAGTCAGATCTGCTAGCAAAAATATAAAAAGAATATAAATGGCCAACAATGATACAACATTTAAAAGCCTGGGTCATTCACATGTGAGTCTATTTTGATAGCTTATATTAACCTCTTGCAAGATGGAAATTCTAGCAAGATGATGATAGAGGAAAGATGACTGCCTTCACTGAGAATCCCCCTCTTTAATTTCCAAAACATAAAACGGGAGAAAGCAGTTGCCTTGTTTCCATTTTGAGCCTTTTGGTGATGCATTTCCATGAGGATCTCAGAATTTCCTGCCCCATTATAAACTGTGGGAAATAAACTAATTTTGTTACTGTCTATTAGGCAGTAGAAATAGCAGTGAAATGCCCTCCTTTTTTGTGTGTCCCCGGTCATGGGGACTTTAATAAGGGTTTTCACAGCAATGCCTACTTATGTCAGATAAGTCAGATTGCCGCTTCTTCCACTCAGAATGACTGACTCATGTTGGGTTGTTTACCCAGGTTAATCCAGTTATTAATGAAGCAGTCTGAAGGGCACACAGACTGCTTAGCTACTTTAAACTCAGTTGGGCACAGACTCAATCATAATATGTTGCTTCTGGAGTTTACTGAAGCCACTCTTGAATTTCTCTGTTCTTGTTTTGTTGAGCACTGACAATGTTCCTGGTACAACTGTCAGTTTGTTCCTGTGCTCTTGAGAGAGCTCGTGTAAACATGCGGGACCACCAGGTTGTGAGCAGGTCTATATTAGCTGGCCTGGAGCCACCCTGATGTGACTGTCATCTAAACATTGTCCAGAATCTTCTAGTCCAACCCTCCCAGTCAGAGCTAGGACTATCACCACAGTGGATCACAGCTACATCTTTGTCTAGCAGGGATTTCACCACCTCTCTGGTGAACCTGTTCCAGTGCCCAGCTACCAATTTGGTGACTTTTTTCTTCAAATTACACTCAGCCTGAACCTCCCAAAGCTCAATTGTCTGTTGTGACATTGCCTGGCCCTGATACCCTTGCATTTGACCTTCAGATAGCTGTAGGCCATATTAGATCACCATGGTGCCAGTCTTCATCTGCCTAAAAAAAGCTCTGCTTTAGGCTTGTTTAACCTCTCTAGGATGTGTGCTGTAGGGCTTGGCTGTCTTTGTAGCCTCTCTTCATTAAAAGACTACACTAAGCTGGAACGAATTTTCCTTCTCCATTGAAATAGCACTGGGAAAAGGCCAAAAATACTTACTTTCAGGGACTATTTGATACTGCTCCACTGTGGGCCACGTTAGGTGATTATGGACCCAACTCCTCTGCGTTGACAGTCAAACATCCCCACAGGAGGAACAGTAGGAGAGTTTGGTTGCTTCTGGGGAGGTGAAATATCTGTATCCCTTCAGAGCACTTTTCCTAGCACATTTCTGTGTATGAGAAGGCCAAAGAGCAATATGATACAAACTCTATCAGAGCTGAGTATTACTGTCAGGTCCTGCTTGTAGGAGATAAGTCACATTGGTGGCCTTGATGGGTCTCTGCTGAGTTCATTTCAGTGGTTTCTTGCTACCATATTCAGGCTTCTCTTTAGGCTCCCTCATACTTGACAGAAGTAAATAAAACGTGTCCTTATTGGATCTCTTTTCACTGCACAACAAACACAGGCATGTCCCTGCGCACATAATGGCAACTGTTTCACCTTATGGCAGTCAGGGTTAGCAGCTTCAGTTTGTGTAACTTAAGGGGTTTTTAAGCAAGGTGTATTAGTTAGGCCAGAATCAGAATACCTCAAGTAGTGCTCCAGACATTGCCTGCAGTTTGAACTCATGTGGGAAGAGAGAACAGCGAGAGAGGAAGACAAAATTTCATCCTTTTGCTTCCTTCAGCCAGACTCTTCTCAGTGGTACCAGGGAATAGTACATGTGGCAGTGGGTATAAACTAAACTACCAAAAGTTCCACATGAGCATGAGGAAGAATTCCTTTTACTGTAAGGGCAAATGAGCACTGGGATAGGATGCCCAGAGAGGTTGTGGAGTGTTCTTCCCTGGAGATATTCAGGAGCTGTCTGCACACAAACCTGGATGGTGTGCTCTGGGTGACCCTACCTGAGCAGGGAGGTTGAGCTAAATGACCTCTGATGGTCCCTTCCAGCCTGAGCCATTTTGTGATGTTGTGATATTGCCTTAACAGAGCTGTCCTGTGAAGAGCTAATTTTTGCAATAGCTTCACTCACAGCTCTCTTGGGGAAGAGAAGTGTTGCTGTATGGCACTGCCTTTGGCTGCAGTGTGTGTATTGCTTCCTCTTTGTCCTGAGCTCTGCTCAGCAAAAGAGCTGGGAATTACTGCCTGGCTCCTCATTATTGTCTTTTCTTCTTCATTTTTATTTCATTACCAGCTTCAGAGTGAGGTAGAGAAGCCACTGCTCAACTTCAGAGAGAATTTTAAGAAAGACATGAAGAAGTGTGACCACCACATTGCAGACTTACGGAAGCAGCTGGCCAGCCGCTATGCAGCAGTTGAAAAGGTGGGAGCAGAGAACAAATTGGGGAATTTGAGATACTCCTGGTTTGGACAGAAAAGCAGGTGCCCCATGAAAAGTTTCTGTCCTGCCACAAAGAACCACAAAGGTTTTGATTTTGCTGGGCCCCTGCTTAGCTGGGAAACTGGGGGCTACAGGCAGGGTTAACGCATTACGGCTGGGGCTTTTTGTTTTATCCTCCACTTCCCAATTTTGGACAGTATATTTCTAATGCATTTGATTAAAATGCTCCTTGCTCATGTGCATCCAGAAGCCACATCTGTGCCCTCAAAATTTAAAAAGGTGTTGCCTTAGAATAGCGGCAGAGGCAGACCAAAGGTGTGTATGGCTCAGTATCATCCAGCAGTGGTGAAAAGCAGATGACTAAGGAAGGCAGGTCAGACCTGTCACAAAGCCTCTCCCAGTTCCTGTTTTCTGTGCCTCACAGCAAACAACCTCACCTAAAAAACCCAAACAGTAGCAGCACCCTCAGATCAGGGGCTATTTTAACATGAACATCCAGCTGAGGTTGAGATTTACACCCACAGGTATAAATCGTATAAACCTAGGGGAGTTATACCCACAAAAAGTGCTCTTACCAGCAGCTGCCAGGAAATGGGATACCCATGCTTCAGCTGCCAAGACACTTGTGCCAAATGGTATCCTCATGTGGTTTGCTCTTGGGTGTAAGTTGAAAAGGAAAATACCATGTTCAGTTAAGCCAGAAGGTTATTTGGGCATTCAGTAGGAATCAGAGTGCACCCGAACAAGTTTGCCTGGGAACAGAATTGTTGCAGGATACACACTGTATGTATGCAGGGAAGGTGTTTTTCTGCAAAACACTTAAGATCTTCACAGCCATATCTGCAAAGAAACACAGTTCTCAGTAGGGGTATTGAAAAGAATGAACTGGAACCTTGAGAAGAAGGAACAAAAAAAGATAAAAGCCGTAAGATCAGAGGGCTGAAGCAGCTCTGTTCTGGGGACAGGCTGAGAGAGTGGGCATGTTCAGCCTGGAGAAGAGAATGCTCTGAGGAGACTTCAGAGCAGCTCCCAGTGCTCAAAGGGGCCACTAGAGACCTGGAGAGGGGCTTTTGACAAGGGCCTGTACAGGCAGGACAAGTGGGAATGGCTTTAACCTGCCAGAGGGGAGACTGAGGTGAGATCTTACGCAGAAGTTTGACCTCGTGGCAGCTTCCAGTGTCTGAAGTGGGCCTAGAAGGATGCTGAAGAGGAGCTCTTCATCAGAGACTGGAGCGATAGGACAAGGGGTGGTGGGTTCAAACTGAATCAGAAGTTCAGGTTAGACATAAGGAAGAAATTCTTTACTGTGAGGGTGCTGAGGCGCTGGCACAGGGTGCCCAGAGAAGCTGGGGCTGCCCCATCCCTAGCAGTGTTCAAGGCCAGGTTGGACACAGGGGCTTGGAGCAAGCTGCTCTAGTGGAAGGTGTCCCTGCCCGTGGCAGGGGTTGGAGCTGGAGGAGCTTTAAGGTCACTTCCAATCCACACCATTCCAGGATTCTCTGCAGTGTGCCTCAGCACAGCTTCTCACCAGGTTGCTTTCCTGCAGCTCCCTCATGCGACCTGCCGAACCAAGCGCAGTCTTTAAAACTGCAAAGATTCAAGTAATGCCTCAAGAGCGCAACTTGCAGGCTCGTGTGAAAACTGCAAGGTGCGAACACTCATCCACATTCGTTTTAAAACACTATAGCTGGATAAAGAGCAAATGTGGCCTCTTTTATAAAAAGCCTGTGCGAAACAAGCTATTTCATGCACTTTTGTCACCCCAGAAGACAGCATGCAGATGTAGAAATGATGTTTATTTAAGACACTTCAGTAATTTGGCCATATAAGTTCACTAATGATACTGATAAATCAGGTTTCTAATTCCTGAAGAACTTTAAAGTAACTTAAATAATCAGTTGTAACCAGGTCTCAGGTTCATGATTTCTGCAGTACTAATTGCTGGTATAATGAATCTGAAGTAGCTTCTCTAAAATAAGCCTCAAAGTTTGTGTTGTTATTTTCTAATAAGTGTATATTGAATCCACAAGGTACTTAAAAGTTAATTTTGTGAGATGCTTGAATTTCTTTCAGTAATTTAGATCTTAAGAAGAGCAAATGTGGGGTCTTGGTGATGCTGGTTAAAACACTGAGGAGAAGCTTCAGATCTGCTTCCTTTCGGAAATAGTTACTAAGATAAAAAAGTTACTAAGAAACATGAAAGTCTGATGATGCCTTTTGTACTCTGCCTTTCTAACAACCTGTGAAGAGTTCAGGTGCTCTTACAATGTGTTGGTGACGACTTGTATATGGTGGTCAGACATATCTTTGATCACCACATGGTGTCCTAAGAACTTGAATCCCAGTTAGGACCCAGTCTGATGCAGAGTCGCTGACACCTTAGTGATTGATACTTGTGTGAAGGGGTCATAGATGGCTGAAAGAAGCTGGCAGTTCTTTTGCTCTAAAACATGTGGGTCTTTGATTACTCCAAGGCCCGGAAAGCCTTGACAGAGAGACAGAAGGATCTGGAAATGAAAACACAGCAGCTAGAGGTGAAGCTCAGCAACAAAACAGAAGAAGAAATTAAGAAGGCGAGGCGGAAGTCCACTCAAGCGGGTGAGTACCCGTGTCTGTCAGTGGTGGGAGGTGAGCACAGGCCTGGGGAAGGCAGGAACAAGATGGGATGCAACTGCCCATCCACCCATGTGTTTCTTGGGTTTTAATATAGTAGCTACAAAGTCCAAGTGAATCGTGCTATGAATCTGTCCGGTGTTAAATCCCCTGAAGAAACGAGCTTAGTTTTCCAAGTGAGACATCACAAAATGATGATTTTGATACTTGGGGTGAGAACAGTAAAAGGAGGGTGAATTGTCCTTTTGTTTTGTCCTTTGAAAGTGTGCTGGGATAACTGAATGCTTGTGAAACTTTCGCAGTCAGGTTCAAAGCACTTCAGCTGAGAATGTTTTTTCCTTAAATCCTATGTCCTTCCTTGGTTCTTCCCTAAATCCCAGTTACCCCCAGCTCTGTTGGTACCTATTATGCTTCCTATTACTGTCTTTTTCTTTAAAAGTGAACTTTTTGTCTTTTTTCCACTGTTACTCCGCGATTAAAATGATTTCTGTTCTACGTGATGTGACCTATGCATGTTTTACAGAGGCTCAAACCAATTCTACAGAATCAGTCAGGAGCTGTCTTCCTTGAGATCTGCGAAACTGATACATGCTAGCTGCTGAAAATCTATTTTAACTAGGGCTTTCATGTTTCATCCCTTCTTAGGTCCATTCCTTGGCAGAATGGTCCTTCATAGTTGTGAGGCTTTTAAAACTTAAGAATCGCTGGTCTGGGTTTTGAAGAGACTAGGAAGAGTCATTTGCAGTGTGACCATGGTCATAGACAACTGTTTGAGGAGAAACAAATGTTACATGTTGAACAACTATGGGAGAGCTGAAGATTCTATGGGAGTAACCCAGAGTTTGGTGTGTCTCCCCATCACTTCTCCCCCACTTTGTGCCATTGTTACAGTGCGTGGCAGGGGAGGACTTGCCCCACTGAGCAGCCAAGCCAGGGTGCTTATGATGTGTACAGTAGCAGTATTTAGTGATCTAGCTTTGAAATGAGGCCTGCTACAAGTGGATGGTAGGACCAGAGAGCTCTAGATCAGAGCCCTTCTACAATTCTACCAGTTACTGATACGTTGCTTTCTGCTCTCATGCCTTTCTACTGCAACTGTTCAATGTTTTTAATGACTTCATTCATGTTTTTAATGACTTCAGGTTCCTGAATGTACAGTAGCTCAGATTCACTCAGAGGATAACACCAAACCACATAGCTCCTGAGGAGCTGCCTGGACTTGTCATGTCAAACTAAGCATCTCCTGTCTTGGTGAATAAGCTTTTACCAGAGCTTTGTGGGGTTAGATTGCCACCCCAACTTCTAAGGCCATGAGAGACTTCCAGATGCATTTACTTCTTTAACACTTGTTTGGTCTGTGGAGTCCTTTTCTTAAAGCTTGGTTTGTCTGTGGTTTAAGTATAAAGACCTTTTTGCACCCAAAAGAACAGGATGAATGTGAGCCCTGGACCTAGACATGGAACCGTTAGGGAAAGTGTAACTGAGCCTCATTTAAAGAAGAAAGAGAATTTGCCAGCCAGAAAGCAGTAATCTCGAAGCCATGCCTTCTAGATTGCCCGCCCACCTTTCCCTCTCTGTCAGAACAGAGTCCTGCAACAAAGAAAAAACATGAAATCATTGCAGCTTATTGTGTTCCTGCCATGAGCACGGGAGGGAGCCAGAGCATCTCCAGAGGCTGGAGACTGCAACTTGGTTGAGGTTGCAAATCAGCATCCCTTGGTCTCAGACAGGTTTAGCATGATGCTTTGCTCCTATTTTAAATAGACGTGTCCTAGAATGCAGCCTCACCTACAAAGTGCTGCCCTCATTATTATTGACTTCCCATTTTAATGTTTTTTTAGGTACAACTATCTATAACTCTTTTTAACTGAAGTTACGTGTTTTCACCGTTCTGGGCATTTTGTAAACTGTTCCTTAATATTCATATTTTTCTTTTAAAATCCTGTCTTTCTGTCTCATTCTTTCTCACCCCGACCACCTGACAATGCATTGTGGTGAAATTTCATTGCACATAACAAATACCATGTAACAGAACTGCCTTCAGCTCCACCAGGACTGACCTTCCAACCTCCTGGGTCTGTCTGCAAATCCTCAGCTGTACTTACCTTCTAAGCTCCGTAACACTGGCTACAGAAGACTAAAGTGTTGCTATCTTGAACTTTCCAGGGGATGACTTGATGCGCTGCGTGGATCTTTACAATCAAGCTCAGTCCAAGTGGTTTGAGGAAATGGTGACTACCACTCTGGTATGTAACTGTAGCATCTTACATGTGTAATATTGCAGAATTGTAATAACCTGCAACATTCATCACAGTTATAGTGCAAAGCAGTGGGGAAACTTGAGTAATAAATCTCTCATTGTATTTCCTGTTCTCAGTTCTAAGAAAAACTCCTATCATTAGGGGAAGGAAGAAATAATTGTTTCTTTGCAGAAGGCATTAAATCAATTCAGGGCTTCTTAGGGGCCAGAACACTGCAATTATCCCCAGGAAGGGTGAAGGAGTGCACAGGGAAGACATGGAAAACATGATAAATCACTAAATACATTTTATACACAAATGAATTTTCGTATTCCATGATTTTCCAATTTGGTCTCTTGCCCGCTCAGCAGAGGCAAGCTTTAATCACCTATTGTTCTATCTCTCAGAAGATAGCACAGCTCACCGTGTTCACCCTAAGGGCATATACCTTTGGGGTTAGTCTCCAAGATGCCAAGATAGCAGCTTTGATGTGCTGTAAACCTTGAAATACCTGTATTTGGCTAGAGGGCTCCTCCCTCATGTAATTCCTTACAGCCCTTCTAGATAAAGAGCTGATTGCTTTCAAAAGCAGGAAATAAAATGTCTTTTGCATGTGTTTTTCTCATTGGCCAAATACAAAACTGTAAACTCCTCCTAAAAAGAAGAGGATAATAAATTGCTCAGCATTTGGAAGTGTGTAAGTGCAATATTTAAAGTGCAGTAAATAAAGGCAGATGGGTGAGCAGAAAACCAGGAGGAGGATGTCTTCGCAAAAGCAGAACAGGAGAGAAAAAGTTGGCTGTTCCTATACATACAGGATCTGATTCTCCTCTCCCCTCCACTGATGGTTTCTCACTGATGCAAATGACACTGACCGTCAGTGCCACTGTGTCCAGATATGGCCAGATATATGTTAGCTGCATATTTGCTTCTGGAGAACTACGACCCAGAAGTGTGCTAGTAGATGACTTAAGAGGAATTTGCTCTTTATTTGAGAGAGCAACTGGGATGGGTTGAGCTCTGCCCAGGGACAGACAAACGAGAGTTTATGGGTGAGAATTAATGGACAGGCCAATATGGGTGACACTGTTGTGGGTTTTTCACAGAATCCCAGAATCGCTGGGGTTGCAGTAGCCCTCTGAAGGTCATCCAGTTCAACCCCCTGCCAGGGCAGGGCCACCCAGAGCAGGTCACACAGGAACATGCTCAGGCAGGTTTGGAATGTCTCTGGAGAGGGAGACTCCACAACCTCCCTGGGCAGCCTGTGCCAGAGCTCTGCCACCTTCTATGGAAAGTTCTTCCTCATGTTGAGGTGAAACTTCTTGTTACTTTAGTTTATGGCTATTGTTCATCATCCTGTCACTGGGCACCACTGAAGAGTCTGGTCCCATCCTCCTGTCACCCACCGTTGAGCTATTGATCTGCACTGATGAGATTCCCTCTCAGTTTGCTCTTCTCTAGACTAAACAGGTCCAGCTTTTGCAATGTGTCCTCATAAGAGAGATGCTCCAGACCCCTGATCATCCTTGTGGCCTCCGCTGGTCCATCTCCAGTAGCTCCTCATCTGTCTTGTGCTGAGGAGCCCAAAGCTGGACACAGTAAAATATGAAACACAAATGATTTGAGCCATGATATTTGACATCATTTTCTAGACAAGATCTTCTGTGTTTCCAACATTGAGGTGGTGGATGCACCATCCCTGGAGACATTCACTGTCAGGCTGGATGTGGTTCTGGGCAGCCTGATCTAGTTGAAGATGTCCCTGCTCATTGCAGGGGGATTTGACTAGATGAGCTTTGAAGGTCCCTTCTGACTCAAACTATTATGTGAGTCTATGATTCTACAAGCTCCTTTGCTCTTCCTCCCCAGGCTGGTAGTTGACCACCTGAGGTTTTTGTGCTGTAAGGAAGAATCTGTTTCCAAAAAGGTGTTTACCAACTTGCAAATAGCACAGGGAAGGCAATGAAGTGTTTCGCCTGCTTGCGTATGCTCACGTTGCTTTCCACCTCGATACACAGTAAGTGAGCATCAGAAATGCCCTCTGACAGCAGTTTTAAAAGATTTTGGCCCACTGTTGTGCCTGTGAATGCAGAGCTTTCTAATGGTACAGCAAAGTACATTACACTATGTTTTTAAAGGCAGATTTCCATAGCATGCTTCTTCCACTCAGATGGACAAGGAGGGACTTAATGCAGATTTGGGGATATAATATCAGAATCCAGGAGAAGAGGGAGGCAGAAGGAGCAGGAGGCAAGTTAGAAATGATCTGCCTTTTCAACTGAATCATTGCTGGGGTCAGCTTACTGGCAGCTGAGTGAGGTGGAGCCTTGTGCCAGCTCATGTGGTGGAAAGAAAACAGCTTTTACACGTGCCTGGTTAGACCAAGGGCAGTAAGGTTGTACCGCTCAGCATCGTCTCCTGCTTCCACTGCAACTTCTGGAGCTAGCAACAAGGCATGCAAAGCTTCCTGCAGGAAACAGATGCCTTCTTGCTTGCAGCATCCCTAAGAATAGAGGCTTGCCTCTCTCCCTTGGTTGTCTCAGTTTTGAAGAAGTTTAGACTATAGCTACTTTGTAGTTACTAGCAAATGTCGTGTTACAAATGAAATTACTTTCCCCGTCAAATGGAATAAATATTCCCATTGCACTCAAGAATTCAGAGAAACCCAGAAAAAATGGCTCAAACAGGACAGTGCCTTTTGAAGGTCGGTGATGATACCACAACACTGGACTTTTAAAACTGAGCCTGACAGGGTCCTGGGGCATCTAGTTTAGGTTATGCTTTGCCTAGAAAAGTTGGACAAGATGATCCTTGAGGTCCCTTCCAACCTGTTATTCTGTGGTTCTATGGTTCTTTTCTGTCACTGGGTTCATAATGAAGGGAATTCTGTTGCTTGTTGTCTCTGATTCTCTACAAATCAGAGAGATGTGCAACCACAGAGTTCAGCTCCAAAGCATGACCCTGGAGTAGTATCACACTGACTGACAACCTTTTGTGTGTCATCCCTTCCCTGGGCCTTCAAGCTCAGCTTCCAACCAAAATATGAATTTGTTTTCTTTTGTGTCTAGGAGCTTGAGAGACTAGAAGTTGAAAGGGTGGAGATGATTCGGCAGCATCTTTGCCAGTATACACAGCTGCGGCATGAGACAGACATGTTCAACCAAAGTGTAAGTCTGCTTTTTGTTTGGTCCCTTTGGCCTTTATTGTACTTCAGCTGAGCAGAAGAGTCCCTATCCTCATCCAACTGACCTGTATCAAAAGGAGGAGTGAAAAGCGTACGCAGTCAGCTTGTTAGTTTTTACTGCCACCCTACATTTCTGCTCCTCCAAGACTCTCTTATCCTGATTACATTTCATACTTCTAGATCACAGCTTCTTGTTGGGGGAGACACACTGAATTGAATTACATGTGAACAGCATGAGCTATTATTAGTTCTCCCTGCAAGATGCGCTATTCCTGAGCTGGTCTATTCTTGCAAGGAAGGTGGTAAATAGTTGGGAGAGGGAATGTATATATTTTTTTTGTATTAAAAAACTGGCTAGTTTTCAAATACTAAAACATGGGGGCTGTTTGCTGACCTCAGTACATGGTCGTATTTGGTGTAAGGTACGGATTGCAGGACAGGAAGCAGAGACCATCTGGCTAGTGCCTGGCATAGGAAGCCTGTCTCTGCTTGATGTTAAAAGTCAGCCTCTTTGCTTCCTGCTGTGAGGCTTCACATTCAGATGTGACTGTTGTCCACTAAGTCATGTGTACCTGCAGTTCTCACTTGTCTGCAAATGCAATATAAGTGTGCCCATAGCTGCTCTATACTTCAGAGCAATGACTGCTTCTGCTTGAAATGTGTCCTTGACATTTTGATTCTTGTTTTGTTCATTTTAGACAGTAGAGCTCGTGGATCAGTTGCTTCGGAAAGTGGATCCTGCCAAAGACAGGGAACTGTGGGTAAAAGAACACAAAACTGGAGATATCCGACCTGTGGACATGGAAATATAGACTGATCTTTAGTTGTATGTCATGAGTCCACTGAATTAACCCAGCTAATGTTTGCTTTTTAAGGGTCAGAAGAGCATAAGGAAAAGGTTGTTCCACTACCAGACTCCTTGTAATTTATGCCTGTACAGGCCATCTCTGTTACATTTAGTCATTAAAATGGTCCTCATTGTGCTAAGCCTTAAGCACCAGACATTCCAGGATGAAGAAACCAGATGTGTGCTTCCCACCAGAGGTTCCCAATTGCACGCAGCTTCCAGAAGAAATCTGCTTTCTGGTACAAGGAGAGCTCTGTTCTTCAGTGACTTTGTGCTACATCCCTTGCATGACTATCTTTATACAGTATGTTAGAACAACCATGCAGAGAGCCTCTGGCCAGCAAGTGAATAACTGAACATGATGCAGGAGGCAAGGAGGTCCTGATCATGAATCCCAGGTCTGTCACTGACTGCTTTCATGGCTATAGGCAAGTCAGTTAACTTTTCCGGTTCCCCCATCTATAAAACACGTATCTTGCAGCAGTGTTGTGCAAACACACTTATTTCATATAACACAGTTTCCCACCAAGGCCCTTCTCCCAATATCTATGGAGAAGAGTCCTGTTCTTCCTGTTTTACACTCCCTCTCAGGGATACATAAACCCATTGTCATCATGATTTCTGTTCCAGGCCAATCAGTAAGGTTGAAAGTGTTAACTAGCACTGTTATTTATAAGGAAAGACTTGGTCGTGCTATACCTACCTCATTAGCTGTCTGAGTGCCCTCAATGACAGAAAGAGGTTATATACCAAGGAATAAATGAGATACTCAAAACCTTTCCTGCTTATGCAAGATGTTTTCTCACAAAAATCTCCTTCAAGACAGCCCTCTTACATTTGATTTAGGATCCAGGTTTAAATTGCCCTTTGTTGGTTCCTTCAGGTGAATATTGCAGCCTTTAGGTATCTTTAATTGCCAAGTTTTTCCAGCTAAATTGTGGGGTTTATCTTTTTAGAGCCTGATTTTCAAAGATGCCATGAATCTGTGATGCTAGATTGCATTAAATATAAGAGATGTAGGTGCCCAGCACTTCTGCACCAGCTGATTCTTAACCTTAGGCTTTTCCTTTGTTACCTTTACCACAAACTACCAAAAATGTAACACTGCCCCTGGCACATAATATTGTATAGTTTGGAGACTGGTTTTGAAAAGGTTTTTGAAAATTCATTTTCTTTTCTTGCTGTCATTTCTGATTGACTGTTCAGTGTTGCTGGTAATACAGTTTTCAGCATTTCATACAATGCCAAGATTCTTGCTTTAGATCCGAAACCTTGATTCTCACCACTGTGGCCTTTACTGTGTTGCTATCTACAATTTCCCAAGCAGTACTATGCCATTTGATCCACTTCACCTCATTGTTTCCATCATTTCTCCCCAGCACCAAAATTGCATCCTTTTGTTCTACTGCTGTTTTAGGTTTTTATTTACCAGCCTCTGAGTGCTGTGATTGGATCACTGAGAATTAATATTCCCCTTTACAAATTCTGAGACACAGAGAAGTCTTACCTGAAGCACGTATTTAATAATGCTGCAGTGATTATTTTCCTGGTTTGTTATTTCAGTCTGAATTCTATGGCATTTTCCTCCTGTTCCCTTTTCCTCAACCATCTCTTTACTAATATAGATTCATTCTTGTCTTGAAAAATGCTTCTACAACCCACATCTCTGCTGAATCATTACCCTTTATAAACCTTTGCACGTTGGCAAGTGCGCTGCCATGACCACTGCATGCTCAGGATCACTGTTCCTCGTGTGACACCTCCAGACACACTTCTGAATTTGTGACTATTGTTTTATTCTCAGTGTTGGAAGCATCCAGCACAGTTATGTGAGACTCTTCTAAGTACCTGCCAAGACCATTGCAGTACAAATGAAACATGGTTTGTGTCACACAGTCCCTGAACTCAGTAGAGTACATACTCTTCCCCAGATTCCTCTTCTGCTACTCAAGCAGGGATGTTTTGTGGTGATGTCTTTTACGGTCTTCCTACTGATTGACTCTCTTACTCATTTTGTCATACCAATGATACTTTTCCTATCTCTACCATGCACTTTGGAGGACAGGCACTTTTCTTTTTATTAAACCACAGGGGCAGGGTGAGCTTTCAAAACTTCAATGGCCAAAAATAACTGGAGTACTTTAGAGCTGCATCTCAGGTGGACCCCTGTGTTCTAAGCTCTATTGTAAATCAGAATAAGCAATCTTGATGCCACCTCACCACAATCGTGTTTTGATTGCAAAACCAAGCTAATTGTGCACTTTATACAGGATTCTCCTTAAAAATACCTGAAATAATCTGTTACCAATTACACTTTTACTCTTTAAAGATGTTTTTTATTTTATCTGTTTTGGACTGGAAATACTGTCCATTAGCATAGGTTTCTGTGAGGACCAAAGAGTATTTTGGTTCCTCTACTAAGTTGTATTTAAGCTGCTGTTATTTCTCAGTTGTCTTTTCTGGTAGCTGCTTTTTTTCCCTTTAGTTTTATTTCCAGACAGTTCTCCTACTTCTTGGTTTTGGTCCATTTGAAATGTTGCAGGCATGCGTGAGCTGCACAGAATGATCATTCTTTTGATGGAGATTGTCTCCCTTTTTCACTTTGATAACCTGAGGAGAGCCCTTGTACCTGGCTGTTAATCTTTACTGGGCCCAGCAAACTCTCAGGCAGTGCTGCTCTGCAGTGGATGAGATGCTTTCTCTAAAACAAGATACTCATCTGTAATAGGTGGAAGTTTTGCTGTTGCTCATAGACAGTTTGCAGCTTATTTCCTGCAAAAGTTGATATTCCTTTGTGATATGACACTGCAGACTGTAGGATCAGTGTTACCTGGCGCATTCATTTCGCTGGCTGATGGATCATGGACAGTGGCATGCCTTACAAGTCAGGGAATGCTGGAGCCCCTGTGCTTCTGAATGGACAACATCCTCAAAGAAGGTAGTGGCATGTTTGAGAATATGGACACCTGCCTTCGTGTTCATTCCTTACAGGGTAACTTTGGGAGTCACAGCTTTGCTCAATTAATCTTCCACTGAGTTGCAAAAATGCAGCTGAACTTGTAATTGGTCATCATAAACAGCTTCTTGTCCAGAGCCATATTCAGCTTTGTGTTATGGTAACAAAGCTAGCATGTGGAAAGCATGATGTTGCAATGTAACTGATAAATAGGAATAGCAAAGTAAGCCTCTTACCTTCGTAAGTACTGAGCTTAAGCATCACCCCATTTCGCCTGGCAGGTAGGCTCACACACTTGATCCAAGTTTTTACTATTTTAGTTACTACATGAAAAATTCTGTTGAGTGACAAGGCTGGTTTACATCTTCACATGGCCTGTGGTCACAGAGCAGAAGGTGAGCTTTTGATTAGTGTTGTGCACTTTCACCCTAAGAGGTGCGTACAGTCAGTGGGAATTGCTTGTGGTTTGTTCTTACCTGGGAGCTCTACTTGCCTGGGTTTTTGTTGAAGCCACCTACGTACTGCAGCGCTTGCTCTTTGCCTAACCAATGCTGTCACATACTTGTGCTGTCAAGCCTCTGGCTCCCTGGCAATCTTTATTTCAGCCAGAGCCTTTTGGCCCTTGTGTGAACAAAAAGGCTGTACGAATTCCTATGGCTTTGAACCCACAGGGTGTGCTGGCTCTGGTGCCAGAGCTGGTGAGGTGTTTACCAGCTGTATCTTCAGCTGCCGTGCAGAATGTGAATTTTATTCATCATCCACACCAGCCCACCTATGTCTTCAAAGACATCTCCTGGCACAGCTTACTCAACAGAGTCCTTGCTGGAAGTTTTTCTCTAAGATATTCTTTCAGCTTATTTTCTAACAGAACTCACTCTGGATCCAGTGCTATTGGCTGATTCCTGTTGGAGTTGCTGAGCTGAAAGCAAGGAGTCCTTTACCATGTGAGCCAATTGCACTTTCCTCCCATCACTGTCAAGATTCCAGTTGCTTTTATAGAGCAACATCCAAAAAGGCTTTCCAGCAGATTTTCAGTCTTCTCCAGATTCACTCACATCTGTAAATTACTTCTGTGTGCTGAACATAGTTTGAAAGACTTCAGTTGTTCCCTTGTGGGAATGTTATTTTGTTACCTGACACTGGGACCTTTAAAGATAACTATATTTTTTCTTTTTAATTATCGTAACAGCAGTGCAAGTCATAAGGAAATCTCTGTTACGTTTCTAGAATACTTTTCCCCTTCTTGCAGCCCTGCCTGAGCTGCTGTGGGGTAGCTCTGCTCCCCCTCATGTTGCACAGTTACAACAAACATTGAAATCATGCTTCTTTTTGTGCATAACAGGCAGCATGCAAAGTTGTGCTCTGGTTCTCTTTAGCCTTCATGCATCTGTGCAGTTTGATGTTGAAGAATTAGATGCTTTTTGCTTAACTGATAGCCTCATGCTATAATGTCAGTCTGTGTAGTTGCCTTGTGACAGTGAACTGCACTCGGATCACTCCTTTTTTCTTGAGAGGAGTTTTCTGTAAAGTATTCACAGGGAACTTTTACATGCTCAGTAGCACTCAGAATTTCTCAGAACCTCTTTACATTTTTCCCTGGTTTAATGTCATTGTTGAAATATTTGCTGCAAGTTAGACTCTTCACGTAAAAATGTGCAGTCTTCTTTCCACCTGCTCTTTGGAAGTGCTTGGCACTCCAAGATTTCTTGGAACACAACAGGGATGTAGGTGATAAAAGACTTTGAAAATCAGGCTAACAAACAGAAATGCACAAGGCTTTTTGGGGGTTTGTTGGGGTTTTTTTTCTTAGTCATTGAATACATATATAAGGTAAACATCATTAAGAAATGGGAGCCTCAGATACTTAATGTATAAGACCTACCTGCTGTACATGCAGTTCCCAGGCATTCCACGAGTGGCCCTGTGTCAGGCTGTAGTAGGAGCACAGCTCTAGAGCGTGGTGCTAAGGCTTACCTTCTGATGCAGCTGTAAAAACCCAAATCAGAAATTCAGTTAAGAAGTAGCTTTGCTCATCTATTTCTTCAGTCACACACAGGGAGAAAAAGAACACTGCTCACCCAGGTGGGTCCTTCACTATCAAGCACCTTAAGGAATCCAGACCAGCACCTTGAAGGTCCCCCTGGAATGAGTAATGTGACTTGTTGGTGTGATCAGTTAACTGTTTTCTCCTGAATTGCAAACATGCTTGCTATTTCATAGTAGCTAGTGTGCTTTTTTTGTGCTAGTGCAGCCTGCTGGGTCTGTTGCCAGAGATGGTGCAGTCTGGTGTTCTGGAGGCAGTCCTGGTCACCCTTAACCTTTTGCGCTTTATGAGAACTAGGGCTTCAAAAAACAGTGTCAAAAAGACAGCTTTAAAATGACCTTTCTTGATCACTTTCTGGAAAATCTAGGCTTTTTGCTACTCAGCATGTGTTGAAATAGGAGAATGAGATCCCAGAGGTTGCTGAAGGATTGCTGTGGATTGTTCTTGCTTTGTAGGCATCCCCCTGTACTCATACGGTGGTAGGGAATGGCTGCTGAGCATCCTTCTTTGCACAGCACAGCTGTCTGACATTCTGCCAGAGGAGCCTGCTGGTCACATTTAACTTAACCAGGTGGGAATAGAGGGAGGCAGATTCAAATTAAAACCAGACACGTAGGGCAGGAAAATCTTCAGCTGACCCGGTGGCATTTGAGCTTCTGGACACGAGGCACTTGTCTCCCTCAGGCTCTGGTGAGTCTGTTAACAGGCTCCTCACACTCTGAACTCTGCTTAGCACATTAAAAGCAGTGATGAAACATTTCCTAGTATCTGTTGCTTGATACAGGGCTCTTTAAGTAGCACCTAGTTGTGCCAGTGGGAGACATGTGGCAATCCCACCCTGGTGCTACAGTATGGTTTCTGGCATCACAGTGCTATGATGTCCTGTGCCCTTGCACTGAACTGACTGTAAGTCTGGCACAGACATGTCAAGCCTGTTGTGCAGGTATCCTCCAGGAGCTTGGAGCACACCATCTTTCTTGGTGATAAAGTCTTTCCTAACAGCCAATCCTTGTCTTTTCCTGAGAAGAACTATTGTATAAATAACATTCACAACTTTTTGTGATATAGATCTTACTCATATAAATGTGCATCTTTCAATTCTTATTTTGAACTCTTCATTGGTACTGTAGCCAACCCTCTAACACTGAGATACACCAGTTTTGATAATCTTTTCTTTAATTTTGACTGACCAAACTTCATACTTTTGGATATTTTCTGAGAGTGGTAAGTGCATGCTTTTGGGAGGTGTTATTTTGGCTTTTCTTTTGGATTTTTCTTACCAGCCACTGGGTTTGGAAGTGCAATGCCTCCTTTCTGTGCTAGTCACAGTTTAGTTTTAATTCCTGGACAGTTTTTTTCTGAAGGGACCAACAGATAGCACAATTTGTCTTCAATTTCTAATCCCATTTCCTCAAGGCAGAAACCTTTTGTGCCTAATGATGCAATTGATTATAAGAATTGTACATGGATAAAAATTTTCCATAGACCAGTAAAAACAAGTGTTACCACATAATAATTACAGGTAAAAAAAAAAAAAAAAGGAAAAAATATTTACTTGACACATTCAGATTTAATTCCCTCAACTTACATTAAGTTGAACTACTTAGGGTGTAAGAGACCAACTCAGTGGATATTCAGAACAAAAGCTTTTAGCTTCTGTATTCAGGTTCAGTGAGTAGATAGACTGTAATTCTCAATATATGCAGTCTTTCAGGGTTACTGATTTAACAAAGAGCTGAGTAACAGTTTGTATCACAACCTGACTAAAATTCTGCTAGTAATTCCCCTTGAAGTGCCTCTTTAAATTGTATCTGCCACAAGCATGTAGAATACACAGATTCACCCTATAAATTCCCAAAACTCAGGAGCAGCCAGTTTGCACAGATCTGTGCTGGATTCTCAATGCTCCTTCCTTGCTCTGCACTCTGCACTCCTTTAGGACATCCACATATCCAGTAGACCTGGCTTTGTCTCAGTGATCATTTACTGTCCAGCACAGTCATTCTAAATTCTCAATGCTGAAAATGGAGTTGGAAATGTTAAGACTTAAAAGGAATTGCATTGAAGGAGTTGCTAACCTCATCTTCTGACACATCATTCAGTAGAGTAAGCAGGGAATTCTGCATAAAAATAGTTGAGTAAGTGCATTTGGGGCCTAAATAGGCCTTTCTTGTGTAAAATCAAAACAACCTGACTTTTTTAATGCAGTTGCTGAGAAGAAATTTTCTGGTACTGGAAGTCTAAAGCTGAAAAGTGATTTCAGGGATCTCCCATCTCCATGACATGACAATCTTAGTAATTTGAATTTGGGAATGCTTGGCCTGAAATCCCTCGTTCTTTCGGAGTTGGGTTTTGGGGTTGTTTTTTTTTTTTGGTTTGGTTTTGTTTTTTTTTTTTGATGTGATGTCTGAAATTTTCAGAATAGCCTAAAAAATCTGAGTGCCCATTTACCAGACTTTTATTCCAGCAGGTCAAAAATACTCCATAGAGACAGCAACCTCTGTCCATTATGAAATAAAGCAGGTACTAGTATTGGACAAATATTTTCTTCTCCTGAGATTATTTCCATTCTTCCAGCAGCCCAAAATAGTGTGAAAAATCCACTGAGAAGTTTTGCAGACATTCTAACTGCAGGGATTCAAAGGCAGCCAGATCACCAGTCATACACTAAACCAGAGTTTTCTACTAAAATGAAGTTGCTTATTTGGTCCTTTTTGTGTAACTTTTGCTAAATACTTCTAAATTTCTAGGAAAGTTGTCTTTTGCCAGTACTAATGACTTATTTTAAAGATCTTTAACCAAAATTTTGTAACTTTAAATAAATTTTGGCTGAATAGACCCCTTAAATAGTTTATGTATCATGCAGACTGGATAACTAGTAAATCTCAGATCATAGTGCGTATTATAGGATGGCTTTTGGCCCATAAGGGTACACAGAGGAATCACTTTACTGAACTTATGAAGTTGAATGCGGAAAAGATTTAAGGGGCAGATCTTCAGCTCGGGTAAACTGGCAGAGTTTGGTGGAAGCTACTTTATGTCAGCTGTGGATCTTGTCCTTCAGTGTTGAAGGTATTTCCTATACATAATTTTTCTGTCTTTACTGTAAAACAATTTCATATGGTTAAACTGTATTTTCCTATATTGTTCTGCAAGTTTATATGCACCACAGTGCTCATCTCATCTCCTGTAAAATAAACTGTACAGAGACGCATTGAGCATGGAATCGTCTTTCCCCAGGTGCTTTTTCTCTCCCAAAGCCACACACTTTCCGATGCAGTATCATCAAAGAACACTTGGGGGCCATGTGCGCACGTACTGCTTTGTTGATGCAGCTTGAATTTGCAATCATATTACTTGGGTGTAATCTACTTGTACTTATCCTTTTCAGATCTTTGCATGATACTCAGATGAGTACAGTCCCTAAGATTTCGTATATTTTTAGAAAATTAAGAAGCAGCTGTAGTGAAGTGTAGCTGGTTTTGTTCCTTAAACCAGCAAGCAGGTTGAATGTGGTCTGAAAGCAGCTGCCACGAAACGGGCATGCTTTAAATTACATGTCTAGTAGAAGGTGTCCCTGCCCGTAGCAGGAGGTTAGAGCTGTATGAGCTTTAAGGTCCCTTCCAATCCAAACCGTTCTATGGTTCTGTGGTCTGTTAAGTCTTCTATACCAAGTCAGTCCTTTACTTGCAAGTTCTGCATGTGTCTTGAAGCTTAGTTGGAGAGAAAGCAATTGTAAAATGTTACTGTTAATAACTTATTCTACTTTGAATAATTGCATTAATATGCATGCTGGCAGGTTTTCTGCAAAAGTCAAAATTGGCCTTGCCAAAATCCTGTCTAATCCAGCAACTGTCTCCAAAAGTGACCATCATGGGATACTGCTATAGAGGTGGAGCTCAGAGCAAGCAGGTTTTACAGGTCTGCAGAGCACAAGCACGTCTTCCCAGTGATATGTGACTCGGGGACTTTGGAGGTAACAGCAGTACCCACACATCTTATAAACCTCGGTGGAGGTTTCTTCTAAGAATTTGGCTGGTTTTGAGCTCATGTAAGAATTCAGTTTCTGCAGCCACCTGCAGAATGGCACCTCAGAGCTCCGGTGTATGCACACTGATGTGGTAAGTACTTGTAGGGGCTGCACACTCTTAGAAAAGGAGACAAAAGGTAAGACACAGAAAAAGTTCCAGGTGGCAGCTTGGTTTTCACAGCAGAGTCTTTGCACCTTGTCCAAAGTGGCCTAAATCTGGTGGAGAATTTCAGAATGTAGTGTCCAATGTTGGTGTATGGTACAGACCACCTTTGTGAATACGTAACAATCCTCTGTGTGCTGTGTTACATTTAACTGCAGCTTACCAGCAGAAAGCATTTTCAGTTGTAGAGGACTTTGGTCCAACTTTGAAACGCAAGATAGGGAGTTAATTATACAAGCCATGACATGTACTTTGTATGCTGGGGTACTGTCAGCACCCTGAAAAACACAGAGGTGAAAGGACCAGAGTGGATGGTGGAGATAGCAGTGTGGCAGCCTCTCCATCTGCAACATTTAGATGTAAAGGTTAGGAGGTTTAACTCCGTTCTGCACAGAAATACCTGTGCTAGACTTTGGCAACCAAAATAATTAAAACAGCTTGCATTCCACTGTGCAATTAAGCTTTTGACCCTCATGTTCCCCAGATATGGAAAGCAAGCTGCAAGGGAATCAGTAAGGAAATCTGATTCCAGATCACTCTTGGGACTAAGTAGATATGATTTGTGCCTCAAGCTCTTACCTAATGCTTTAGGGTAATTAATTATTATTAATTAAAACTATGTCAATACAGTCTGCATCTTCTGCTGATCTTCCCTGATCAGCAATATCCTGAAATCTCCAGATAAATACAAATTTTCTATATGATGAACTGAACAGTATGTTAGGAGTGTCTTAACTTTTATTTGATTGCAAAGATTAAGTATAAGTGGAAATTGGGGTCTGTACACACCATGCACACCTAGGTTGCAGAACATCAGAGATGCTTATGATGATTTACAGTGCTCATGGAAGGATTCACACAGGACCATTTACTAGGAGCAGTCATAACTACTGGTGTGAGTCAAATGAAGAAGTTTAATTTATTCTACAAGCTGAATGGGCTGAAAGTGGGTTTGAGCCCTCACAGGTCATTGTGGCTTAGGTCCATGAGGCTCTTAAAAGCAAAGCTATGTGCAAAGTTGAAGCAACTGGTTTAACTTAGCTCTTGTCATTTTTTCTGCTTTGCTACATAGGTGCCAACTGCTTTTTCTCTCATGTGGTTTCATTAAATACAATGGCAATTAATGAACTGATGGTCAAGGCAAAATAGCCCAAGAAGTGCTGTTTGCACACCCATGACTGAACCAACCTCACACACAAGTGAAGTTTTGGCAGTCAGGATCTGGACTGAAACCACAGAAATAGCACTGTCACATTTCTTACTCAAAGAATCTTCCTTGTATAAATTACTGTCTCGGTCCTTATACAAATGAAGAAAAAATTACCAACATGAACTAATGAAGTATTTATTGCAGGGACAAACAGTCCTGCCTCACGGGTTAGTGCTGCATGCTCTGTTTGCACTGCGTTTTTCACAAGGCCCTGAAAGAAGGGGATGAGAACATTTAGCTCCAATTTTATTTTGACTTCCTGCTTTATAAAGTAGAAAACCACACACTTGGTCTCCTGGAGCTACAGCAGAAGTTAGTGTTCTGTTTACAGAACTTTGATGGTTTCGGTAGACTTAGCAAATGCTTTAAGACTGTATCATTTGTCTCTGCTTGCTTGCTCAGAGAGACTAGGACTCTCTCTATCAGTTGCTTAGGTGTCTTTTACAGCATGGTGACCATCTCTCTGCTTACAGGTCCAGGCTTCTGGAGCTCTTTTCACTGCCCCTTCACCTTCTAACAAGTCTATTTTAAAGGGGGAAAGGTTGCCAAATGGAGCTCTAGTTAACATGGAAACATGGGAGTCGGGTCAGGACAGCCCCTTAGCACTGCTCCCAGTGCTCAGAAATCTTTCCTGTTGGCTCACTTTGGCATGAAAATGTGTGTAGTCAATGCCTCTTTTGTCCTTTGCTATTTTATGTTTTCCCTCAGTCTTATCTATTGCTGAATCAAAGTTATTTCTTAAGTCTCAAATCTGTGAAAAGGAAAAATTGAGTTAGGCCAAAAGTCCATATAGTCCAGTGTCCTGGCATGACAGTGACCAGTAAGAACTAGTTTCTTTCATAGGGGAGGGTGGGAGAAAAGCTTTGTAATGAAATACATTGTGATTCATCCCTATATAATATTTTGAGCCCTTGGTGACCCCTGTTCAGAGCCTGTCTCCTCCCCAGCAGGGACAGTGTTGTATTTAAACAGCACTTGAGAGATGTTTTTATCTCCCATGAGCTGATTTTGGAACTCATATAAACTTCCCATAACATGATGTAGAAAACAGCTGAACAGCACAGTGATGTATGATAAGAAGCATCTCCTTCTGCTTCCCACTAATCTGCATCTCACTGGGTTAATTTGTTGTCTTAGTTCTTGCATGGGAAGAGATGGCTACTTGCCTTCTGTAGTCAACCCGCAATCTTGACAGCTCACTATCATGTTCCTTCCCCCTTGACCCCATCATTTGTTGTTCATGGTCAGCAGACCTAGCCCTGCTTGGTCCTCTCCAGGTGGGACAAACAGAATTACACAAGGTTTTTAAGATGTAGTTTTTAAGTTGAGGCATGCCTAATAACCTGATACCCTGCCCAAATAATAAGCCAATGTAGCAAAGGGCAGATGCGACTGCTGGGGTAGCTAGGAAAGGGAGAAGTGCTATGGGAGACCCAAAGATAGTGACGGCCAGTGAAGTGAGAGCACCACAAGTCCCTAAATGCAGCTTATGACATCAGGCTGTAGTGGAAATGCCAGCAGAGAAACTGACTGTTGCAATGGGGACTGCCAGCGACATCAGATGCTGGTCCTAGAGGAATATCGGAGGAGTGGACCAAGAGACAAGAGGCTGCAAAACAACAGATGTAGCCAAGTGGAAGTGTTTTGCTCTACCGTGCAGATGAATAAGCTGACATCAACCTGGAGTGAGAGGATTATGCCTACAGCCTCCTGAGGAGGTATGTCACGGCTTGGCATTGCTCACTCTGCTGCTGTCCCACACACTCAAGTTTGTCATCGTCTTCCACTGAAGACTGGGCACTCACAAAGGTCAAGAGTGCTGAAGAAGGTACATGCCTTCTGGTAAGTCTTCCCATTCTCCAGTTCTGGTACTAGGCACAGGTATATGGGATGTCCAAATAGACCCAGAGGCACAGCATCATCTTTTTCATCTGCTGTATTTGAGGAGCACATCCAAGGATGGGGCAGCCACAGCTTTTCTGGGCAACCTTTCCACCCTCATAGTAAAGAATTTCTTCCTAAGTTGTCCTAGGATACTTGGTTTATCTATTTTCTTAAAGTTGTTATTAAATGTTTGCACTGGAACAAACCAGAAGACTAGAGCTGGAATGTCTCCCAGACACCCAACCTTCCCAAAGTTGCCTTTTTCATCGTATTCAGTGAAGTGCCACATGTGTGGCTCTTTGCCTTACTTAACTTGTATGTGGTGCCTTGGGAAGTGAGCACATGAAACCTGACAGAACTGTCACGTCTCAATCTAATGGATTTATTCCATGTTTTAAAAAGCTACAAACCAGTATTATTGATTCCAAGGCATAACTGACAAAGAGTTCTCCAGGCTGGAATGTTTGTGCTTTATTATTTGATCCTTCGAAGCGCAGCCCCCGCCTGGTATGTAGAGGTAATATATTTAAACAACGAATGTAAGTACACATTAATAATTAGCATATAGTTGACATCTCTGGCCATAGAAGGAGCCTTTGTGTCTGAAAGGTTGTGCTTTATGTGTAGTAAAACACAAAAATTTATAGCATGTCTCACAGCAGATTATTCAGATTGCATAAACCTTATTCATACAGATCAGATCAGTTGTCACACTGCATCTACTGGGAAGGCTCAGATGAACTCCACAAGCTATTTTGGCCTTAAAATTCCATTTTGTTTTGTCATACAAGTTTTGATGGAAAGCAAAATCCTTGGCAAAGACAACTTCAAAGCTGTGGAAGTCAGGTTTTTAGAGTGGGTTGCCTCTGATGTCCTGAGCATGAATATTCCACCTTTGTTAGTTAATGGAGTGACTCAGCAGAGACC